AAAGGTGGGGGGAGGGTGGTGAAGGAGGGGGAAAAGAAGGGGGGGAGATGGGGAAGAGCTCCTGGAGGTTGGCTTCTGATCTGAGAGGCACTGCCCCGTGGGGTTGCCCGGGTTGATGAACACCAGGGCGCGGACCTGAAAGGTGGGGGGAGGGTGGTGAAGGAGGGGGAAAAGAAGGGGGGGAGATGGGGAAGAGCTCCTGGAGGTTGGCTTCTGATCTGAGAGGCACTGCCCCGTGGGGTTGCCCGGGTTGATGAACACCAGGGCGCGGACCTGAAAGGTGGGGGGAGGGTGGTGAAGGAGGGGGAAAAGAAGGGGGGGAGATGGGGAAGAGCTCCTGGAGGTTGGCTTCTGATCTGAGAGGCACTGCCCCGTGGGGTTGCCCGGGTTGATGAACACCAGGGCGCGGACCTGAAAGGTGGGGGGAGGGTGGTGAAGGAGGGGGAAAAGAAGGGGGGGAGATGGGGAAGAGCTCCTGGAGGTTGGCTTCTGATCTGAGAGGCACTGCCCCGTGGGGTTGCCCGGGTTGATGAACACCAGGGCGCGGACCTGAAAGGTGGGGGGAGGGTGGTGAAGGAGGGGGAAAAGAAGGGGGGGAGATGGGGAAGAGCTCCTGGAGGTTGGCTTCTGATCTGAGAGGCACTGCCCCGTGGGGTTGCCCGGGTTGATGAACACCAGGGCGCGGACCTGAAAGGTGGGGGGAGGGTGGTGAAGGAGGGGGAAAAGAAGGGGGGGAGATGGGGAAGAGCTCCTGGAGGTTGGCTTCTGATCTGAGAGGCACTGCCCCGTGGGGTTGCCCGGGTTGATGAACACCAGGGCGCGGACCTGAAAGGTGGGGGGAGGGTGGTGAAGGAGGGGGAAAAGAAGGGGGGGAGATGGGGAAGAGCTCCTGGAGGTTGGCTTCTGATCTGAGAGGCACTGCCCCGTGGGGTTGCCCGGGTTGATGAACACCAGGGCGCGGACCTGAAAGGTGGGGGGAGGGTGGTGAAGGAGGGGGAAAAGAAGGGGGGGAGATGGGGAAGAGCTCCTGGAGGTTGGCTTCTGATCTGAGAGGCACTGCCCCGTGGGGTTGCCCGGGTTGATGAACACCAGGGCGCGGACCTGAAAGGTGGGGGGAGGGTGGTGAAGGAGGGGGAAAAGAAGGGGGGGAGATGGGGAAGAGCTCCTGGAGGTTGGCTTCTGATCTGAGAGGCACTGCCCCGTGGGGTTGCCCGGGTTGATGAACACCAGGGCGCGGACCTGAAAGGTGGGGGGAGGGTGGTGAAGGAGGGGGAAAAGAAGGGGGGGAGATGGGGAAGAGCTCCTGGAGGTTGGCTTCTGATCTGAGAGGCACTGCCCCGTGGGGTTGCCCGGGTTGATGAACACCAGGGCGCGGACCTGAAAGGTGGGGGGAGGGTGGTGAAGGAGGGGGAAAAGAAGGGGGGGAGATGGGGAAGAGCTCCTGGAGGTTGGCTTCTGATCTGAGAGGCACTGCCCCGTGGGGTTGCCCGGGTTGATGAACACCAGGGCGCGGACCTGAAAGGTGGGGGGAGGGTGGTGAAGGAGGGGGAAAAGAAGGGGGGGAGATGGGGAAGAGCTCCTGGAGGTTGGCTTCTGATCTGAGAGGCACTGCCCCGTGGGGTTGCCCGGGTTGATGAACACCAGGGCGCGGACCTGAAAGGTGGGGGGAGGGTGGTGAAGGAGGGGGAAAAGAAGGGGGGGAGATGGGGAAGAGCTCCTGGAGGTTGGCTTCTGATCTGAGAGGCACTGCCCCGTGGGGTTGCCCGGGTTGATGAACACCAGGGCGCGGACCTGAAAGGTGGGGGGAGGGTGGTGAAGGAGGGGGAAAAGAAGGGGGGGAGATGGGGAAGAGCTCCTGGAGGTTGGCTTCTGATCTGAGAGGCACTGCCCCGTGGGGTTGCCCGGGTTGATGAACACCAGGGCGCGGACCTGAAAGGTGGGGGGAGGGTGGTGAAGGAGGGGGAAAAGAAGGGGGGGAGATGGGGAAGAGCTCCTGGAGGTTGGCTTCTGATCTGAGAGGCACTGCCCCGTGGGGTTGCCCGGGTTGATGAACACCAGGGCGCGGACCTGAAAGGTGGGGGGAGGGTGGTGAAGGAGGGGGAAAAGAAGGGGGGGAGATGGGGAAGAGCTCCTGGAGGTTGGCTTCTGATCTGAGAGGCACTGCCCCGTGGGGTTGCCCGGGTTGATGAACACCAGGGCGCGGACCTGAAAGGTGGGGGGAGGGTGGTGAAGGAGGGGGAAAAGAAGGGGGGGAGATGGGGAAGAGCTCCTGGAGGTTGGCTTCTGATCTGAGAGGCACTGCCCCGTGGGGTTGCCCGGGTTGATGAACACCAGGGCGCGGACCTGAAAGGTGGGGGGAGGGTGGTGAAGGAGGGGGAAAAGAAGGGGGGGAGATGGGGAAGAGCTCCTGGAGGTTGGCTTCTGATCTGAGAGGCACTGCCCCGTGGGGTTGCCCGGGTTGATGAACACCAGGGCGCGGACCTGAAAGGTGGGGGGAGGGTGGTGAAGGAGGGGGAAAAGAAGGGGGGGAGATGGGGAAGAGCTCCTGGAGGTTGGCTTCTGATCTGAGAGGCACTGCCCCGTGGGGTTGCCCGGGTTGATGAACACCAGGGCGCGGACCTGAAAGGTGGGGGGAGGGTGGTGAAGGAGGGGGAAAAGAAGGGGGGGAGATGGGGAAGAGCTCCTGGAGGTTGGCTTCTGATCTGAGAGGCACTGCCCCGTGGGGTTGCCCGGGTTGATGAACACCAGGGCGCGGACCTGAAAGGTGGGGGGAGGGTGGTGAAGGAGGGGGAAAAGAAGGGGGGGAGATGGGGAAGAGCTCCTGGAGGTTGGCTTCTGATCTGAGAGGCACTGCCCCGTGGGGTTGCCCGGGTTGATGAACACCAGGGCGCGGACCTGAAAGGTGGGGGGAGGGTGGTGAAGGAGGGGGAAAAGAAGGGGGGGAGATGGGGAAGAGCTCCTGGAGGTTGGCTTCTGATCTGAGAGGCACTGCCCCGTGGGGTTGCCCGGGTTGATGAACACCAGGGCGCGGACCTGAAAGGTGGGGGGAGGGTGGTGAAGGAGGGGGAAAAGAAGGGGGGGAGATGGGGAAGAGCTCCTGGAGGTTGGCTTCTGATCTGAGAGGCACTGCCCCGTGGGGTTGCCCGGGTTGATGAACACCAGGGCGCGGACCTGAAAGGTGGGGGGAGGGTGGTGAAGGAGGGGGAAAAGAAGGGGGGGAGATGGGGAAGAGCTCCTGGAGGTTGGCTTCTGATCTGAGAGGCACTGCCCCGTGGGGTTGCCCGGGTTGATGAACACCAGGGCGCGGACCTGAAAGGTGGGGGGAGGGTGGTGAAGGAGGGGGAAAAGAAGGGGGGGAGATGGGGAAGAGCTCCTGGAGGTTGGCTTCTGATCTGAGAGGCACTGCCCCGTGGGGTTGCCCGGGTTGATGAACACCAGGGCGCGGACCTGAAAGGTGGGGGGAGGGTGGTGAAGGAGGGGGAAAAGAAGGGGGGGAGATGGGGAAGAGCTCCTGGAGGTTGGCTTCTGATCTGAGAGGCACTGCCCCGTGGGGTTGCCCGGGTTGATGAACACCAGGGCGCGGACCTGAAAGGTGGGGGGAGGGTGGTGAAGGAGGGGGAAAAGAAGGGGGGGAGATGGGGAAGAGCTCCTGGAGGTTGGCTTCTGATCTGAGAGGCACTGCCCCGTGGGGTTGCCCGGGTTGATGAACACCAGGGCGCGGACCTGAAAGGTGGGGGGAGGGTGGTGAAGGAGGGGGAAAAGAAGGGGGGGAGATGGGGAAGAGCTCCTGGAGGTTGGCTTCTGATCTGAGAGGCACTGCCCCGTGGGGTTGCCCGGGTTGATGAACACCAGGGCGCGGACCTGAAAGGTGGGGGGAGGGTGGTGAAGGAGGGGGAAAAGAAGGGGGGGAGATGGGGAAGAGCTCCTGGAGGTTGGCTTCTGATCTGAGAGGCACTGCCCCGTGGGGTTGCCCGGGTTGATGAACACCAGGGCGCGGACCTGAAAGGTGGGGGGAGGGTGGTGAAGGAGGGGGAAAAGAAGGGGGGGAGATGGGGAAGAGCTCCTGGAGGTTGGCTTCTGATCTGAGAGGCACTGCCCCGTGGGGTTGCCCGGGTTGATGAACACCAGGGCGCGGACCTGAAAGGTGGGGGGAGGGTGGTGAAGGAGGGGGAAAAGAAGGGGGGGAGATGGGGAAGAGCTCCTGGAGGTTGGCTTCTGATCTGAGAGGCACTGCCCCGTGGGGTTGCCCGGGTTGATGAACACCAGGGCGCGGACCTGAAAGGTGGGGGGAGGGTGGTGAAGGAGGGGGAAAAGAAGGGGGGGAGATGGGGAAGAGCTCCTGGAGGTTGGCTTCTGATCTGAGAGGCACTGCCCCGTGGGGTTGCCCGGGTTGATGAACACCAGGGCGCGGACCTGCAGCATGGGAGAGATGCGCAGGGAGGGAGCGCAGGGGTAAGATGCGCAGACACACGTTCACGAGCTCCTTGAGATTGCCTTCTGACAGGCACTGCCGCGTGGGGATGCCGGGGTTGGTAAACACCAGCGCGCGGACCTGTGGGGATGGGGAGGGGGTATGGGGAAGAGGAGCGGCGTATGGGCGTATGGAGGCTTGTGGTGGGGGGGGAGCTGCTTGAGGTTGGCCTCCAACAGGCACTGCCGCGTGGGGATGCCGGGGTTGATGAACACCCGCGCGCGGACCTGCAGGGAAGGTACCCTTGGGGACGAGGATTGATGAACACCAGTGCGCGGACCTGAAAGGGGGGTTGGGGTTGAGCCGGGCGGAGAGGGAGCGAATGGGTAAGATGGGGAGAATCCAAACCTCACTGCCCGTTTTCTCATCCCACACTCACGTTGATGCCTCTCCTCTTAGCGTCTTGGCAAGCCTTCTTCACCCCCTCCACATCCAGAGCCCACCCGCGCTCCTCGTCCAGAAGGTAAGGCATCACTGGGGGGCCAACCATTCTCAATCCCCTCCCAATCCTCCCGACCACTAAACTCACGTTGATGCCTCTCCTCTTGGCGTCTTGGCATGCTTTCTTCACCCCCTCCACATCCAGCGCCCACCCGCGCTCCTCGTCCAGAAGGTACGGGACAAGCGTGCCGCCCAGAAGCTGGATCGTGGCGGAGTAGAGCGGGTACTGCGGAATAGGACAAAGAATGCCGTCCCGCTCGTCGCGGATGACCACGTTCAGGAACTGCGCTACAGCCTTGCTGGCGCCGTCGGTCAGAAAAATGTTTTCAGGGTCACTGAGGAGGAAAGGGGGAGAAGGCGGAAGGGGGGGAAAAGGGGCAAGGGAATGGGGGAACAGCACACGTTCAGGAACTGCGCTACAGCCTTGCTGGCGCCGTCGGTCAGAAACATTTTTTTTTTTTATGTACACATAAACATCCTTTTTGACTTGGGGTGGGATCGCTCTTTATAGCGAGTATACACTGTACCTGGGGTACCCGTCTCGTCTCTGGATAAACTCCGCCACCTCCTTCCTTATCCCGGGCAGTCCGCGCGAGTCACTGTACGCGCCCACGCCGCCAGAAGTGTAAGCGAGGTACTTCTTAGCGCGCGCAATGGCGTCGGGGGGAAACATGCGCCCCACGTCCGGGTGATCCATGAGGAAGGGCGCTTGGAGCAGCGCCATCACCTGGGGGACGGGGGATGAGAAGCGGGGGACGGGGGAAGGGGCGGAATGGGATGGGAGGTGGGACGTGTAAGCGAGGTACTTCTTGGCGCGCGCAATGGCGTCGGGGGGAAACATGCGCCCCGCGTCCGGGTGATTCATGAGGAAGGGCGCTTGCAGCAGCGCCATCACCTGCGGATGGGGGGAGGGGGGAACGGGGGAGGGGGGGAGATGAATGGGGGGAGGGGAATGAGGGGGGGGGGAGGTGGGGGGCGTGTAAGCGAGGTACTTCTTAGCGCGTGCAATGGCGTCGGGGGGAAACATGCGCCCCACGTCCGGATGATCCATGAGGAAGGGCGCTTGGAGCAGCGCCATCACCTGGGGGACGGGGGATGGGGGGAGCGGGATGCGGGGAGGGGCGGAGTGGGGTGGGGGGCGGGACGTGAAAGCGAGGTACTTCTTAGTGCGGGCGATGGCGATAGGGGGAAACATGCGCCCCACGTCCGGGTGATCCATGAGGAAGGGCGCTTGGAGCAGCGCCATCACCTGGGGAAAGGGGGAGGGGAGCCAGGGGATGGGGGAAGGGGGATGGGAGGACGGGGAAGGGGGTGGAGGACGGGAAGTGTAAGCGAGGTACTTCTTAGCGCGTGCAATGGCGTCGGGGGGGAACATGCGCCCCACATCAGGGTGCGACATGAGGAAGGGCGCTTGGAGCAGCGCCATTACCTGCGGATAGGGGAATAAGGGGAGTTGGGGGAGCGGACAGAGGGAGGGTCAGAGATGTTAATATCCGCCCCGCGTCCGGGTGAGACATGAGGAAGGGCGCTTGGAGCAGCGCCATCACCTGGGGGAGGGGGGGATGGGGGAGGGGGAAAGGGGAGGAGGCGAGTTGGGAAAAAGGGAGTCCTGTAGCTAGCGAGACGTGGGACGGGACAGCGGAAAAAGGGGGCGGAGCGGGGAAGGCGTGACAGGGTCACGAATTTCCGCAAAAATAGTGTCGCATGTACCTGTCGCTAATACGACTGTCGCACATACCTGTCGCAGATACGACTGTCGCACATACCTGTCGCAGATACGACTGTCACACGTACCTGTCGCTGGTACGATTGTCGCACATACCTGTCGCAGACACAACTGTCGCGCGTACCTGTCGCGGGAACGTGAGCGGCAGTTGCCCGAGAGCATGGGGATTGCCGACATTCGTGAACACGATCTGACGGATGGGGAAGGGGGAGCCAAAAGTGACAAATCGATGATGGGGGGGGGGGGTTGGGGGGAGCGGGAGTGGGTAGTGGGGAAATGGAAGGGGAAAGTGGGATTGGGGAAAGTAAGAGAATGAGGAAGAGGAGTGACAGTGACGGCCTATAGGGCGTAGGGATGGTTACGCGCGGATGCACATTGGATGACAGGAACTCCGGGAGAGAACGTAAGCAATTTTCGAGAATCGGGTATCAAAAGTGATGTCTTAAGCCTGTCCAACTGCACGTTCACGTTTTTTTCCATCTGGTTGAAAATGCTCGGAATCATTAACGATGTCGTAGTACATCGAGTGTGATTACAAAGGGTCGGCTCAATCTCTCACCTCTTTCCCCTCCGCCTGTAGTTGAGCCGCCCTCAGATAAAGCTCCCCTCGCACCGCGTAGACCGTTTTCTCCACATTCGCATTGATAGTACCCGGCTGTAGAACGCGGTTATCGGCCATGATTGCACTGTAGCGAATGTGACGGTAACGCGAGGTGCTGGGATCGCTACAAGCAACAGCAGCTCGAGCCGAGAATCACGGCTTCTGACACGACAATATTCGTGGTCACTCCTCCTGCAAACTCTTCACGCAGAAGCCTCTACAACTAGATTCTGAGTGCGAGCGTGAAGTGCGTCTTCTCTCTTGTCAGAAACGCAACGCAGCGAAAAAGCAAGAGAAAGGGACCCAGAGAACAGATGTGGAGGAACAAAAGCTGTGTGCTACACGTCAACACAAGATGCATGAATCAATGAGTCAAAGTTGTCAGCACCCAGAAAGTATGGATGGATGAATGAAACCAGAAGGGAGCGTGAGTTCATGGCGGATGGTATAGAACCATACTCAACCGTTGTTTAGTGCCAAAGAGCCGCTCTATTATACGACAATGTCACCCAACCAAATCCAAGCGAACACATCACTCGGCCCAACTTCGAAGGACTCTCCTTCACGGGAGAAAAAGCTTGAAGGTTTTGGACGTTTGAATGCGATATATTACGGTGAAGCGAGGTAGCTCGGAATGGCGTGCCACAGACACGTTTTCCGCATTGTTTGGGTTGGATTCCTGAATCCACCGCAACTCTCATTTTAGCCCATCCATCTGTCTGCACCTGCTCGGCGATCCGATTTCTGTGGTTGTGTGTGTGAAGCGAACTTCGGCGCGTCGTTTCACGCATTGAAACCTTCCGCGACCCGAGGTCTAATCTGAAACGAGGGGCTGATTTCTGCTGACGTGGATATAATTCTGACATACACCCGTCCAAGTGCAGACTTTTGTTTGCCTTGCACTTCCCACGTATGCCATTCTCTCAAAGCGGAAATCTGTCAGCATATATACTCTATATAGAGCAAGTTTTAAAGCTTGTGATTAGGGCGTGACTTGCAGGGTGTAGTTTGGCCATTTACATATTTTTTACGTTATTATGATTGTTCACAAAACTGCTGCCCGCACGTACAGAAAACGTTATGTGTCCGGATGATGCGAATCCACTTTCTGCACGCGGAAAAACAGTCCCGCCCTTGTGAACACCGAACCAAGTACAAGCTTCACCACATGGTCGCGAGCGGTAACCATGCCGCCCTACGAAATCCGTGTAAAATCCGGCGGGATTCGCTCACGCCTGCGCCACACGAAAAATCGCGGTGCCCAACAAACATACAGAATGTTTGTGACCTTCGTTATTTTCGCTTGCAGGGCCTATTTTTCAAGGGTATTTTACCCTTTTTGCCCTGACCATAGGCCGCTTTTTCCTAGTTACCCTTGCCAAATCAGCCTATTGGAATTTTTACCCTGATGTGAAAAGTCTTTGCTTTCAACTACACTGGTGCAATTTTTTTTTTACCCTTGATAAAACAGGGTACAATTGCACCTACTCTGATACCGAAACTCTTTTTAACGCGAATCGAGCCACACACCACGTGACGACATAACTCACCACAAGCCCACTGCCACACTTGTCTTTGCTGACCACAGGCGCACCACCGTCAATTTTTGTCGGTGGCACGCCTGCGCGTCCGATTCGTGCAAGGAGCCACAAATGCGCCAACGCAACCGTAAATCATGCCACATCCAGCCACGGCCACTGCCTGCGGTGCGACTTTGCGCGCCAAGTGTGTTTCTGTCAGAATAATGTTGTTATAACTGCATGTAGTTCTAGCATTAGTGTAGTTATCCTGATTTCCTGCTTTGTGGTGTACCCTCTTTCCTACCCTATATGTTGTGACCCTCTCCATAGTGAAGCCCTCTTCTCTCGTTAATCTCGTTCTACCCTAGGCTACTAAGCCTAGTACCATCTTGACATGGTTTCAGAGCTGGTTCTTTCCTAGAACCTTCAAGTTTTTTTTTTTTTAAGATCAATGGGCCCACCCGTCCCCATGGCGCACTACGACCGTCCCGTCCCCTGCCCGTCGCGTCGCGTCCCCTGCGCGTCGCGCTGCCCGTCCCGTCCCCTGACCGTCGCGCTGCCCGTCGCACGCGACCTGTGCGCCCTGCCCGTCCGTCGCACCCCCGCTGCGCCCTGCCCGTCGCCTCACGCGGTTTCGTCGCCCCACGCCCCCCCCCAGTCGCCTCGCGCGGTTTCGTCGCCCCACGCCCCCCCCCCAAGTCGCCTCGCGCGGTTTCGTCGCCCCACGCCCCCCCCCCCCCGTCACCCAACGCGGTTTCGTCCCCCCGTCCCGTGTGCTGCCCCTTTGCCTCGCCGCTGGTCGCGAGCGCCAGCGCCAGCCCCGCGCTCCAGCACCATCTGCCGTGGGGGAAGGGGGAGGATGAGTGGGTGGCGAGTGAAGGGGGGACATGCAATGAAGGGGTGGCGGGAGAGACTCTGCCGAGCCAGCAACCGCCCCTCCTCCTCTCTCTCTCGCTGCTGAGCAGGGGGGGAGGGTAAGAGAGAGTGGTGGAAACAGCAGCCACGCATCTGCAGCTGCCGCCCACTACTAACGTGGCACCTATAGCTGCAGCCCCTGTCGCCACCTTTCGTCTTTCGTCTTTCGTCTGCTGCTGTTGGCGCAGGTGCTGCCGTTGAGCCTGCTGTGCCGCCGCACGCCGCTCTCCAGGCTACCTGCACTGCATGCATGCTCCCCCCTTTCGTCTTTCGTCTTGGCTAAGGGATTTCTGCAGCTGTATCTACCACTGTTGCACCAGGTTGCTACTGCTTTTGCGTGCTACTGCTTTGTTCTGCTTTGTGTACCCCTGCAGGTTGTGCTTTGCACTTTGCTATTCCTGCATGCAGTTAAGGGGGGATGTCAGAATAATGTTGTTATAACTGCATGTAGTTCTAGCGTTAGTGTAGTTATCCTGATTTCCTGCTTTGTGGCGTACCCTCTTTCCTACCCTATATGTTGTGACCCTCTCCATAGTGAAGCCCTCTTCTCTCGTTAATCTCGTTCTACCCTAGGCTACTAAGCCTAGTACCATCTTGACAGTTTCGTGTGGTCCTTTGCAGCACATGGCAGTCGAGGTGGTTCTGCTGCAACAGCCATGCAGTTCCCGCGGTGCGCGGGTACCTCCCATCAGGGAGTTTGTTGTGCTTTGTGCTTCCCAAGGGGTCCCTGCAGTTCTTCCCATTGTCTCGTTTTTCTCTCGTTCCTCGCTCAACCATGCCTGCGGGAGAGCCAGATCCGCCTGGAACCACCAGGAATGGCCTCTCCGTTCTAGGAGTCTTACCTCGCCTGCGTGATAACTTCAGTGTTCCCATCTCGCAGCCTCCGCATGAGGCATCTCCTGAATGTCTCGTCGGCACCGTCTATCCATTCGAGCCTACGAACTCACCGAAGGCATGGGAGCCACACCCTTCTCTGCATCTCGTTCCCGGAGGTGGCGAGGGCTCGTCAAAATCGCCTTCTGCGACACCGTCTACTATTAGCAGTGCGCTCGTCAAGCGTCAGCGAGTGGGCGCGACATACAAGCAGCAGAGGCTCTGGGGCGCCCCACCTCCCCGACAGGCGGATTCACCGAAACATGCAACTGCTACTGCTGACCCCAAGCCGCCAACCGCGACTGCAGAAGCTGAGTACGAAGCGGTAAAGGCCACTTTCAATTCTCAGTGGGCATGTAAATTCAGCTGGCTCCGCTTAAATCGTATGAGTAATGGAAGGCCGTCACTGAAATGTGCAATATGCGTTAAGCACGGAGATTCGGCAGCTCACACTGCGTACGGGGTCAGAGGTGAGGGTGCTCGAGATTTGCAGTTAGGCAGCATCCGCAGTCATACCTCAAGCCGAGCCCACAAGAGCGCACTCGACAACGAGGCAAAATCTGAAGCGGAGAAGGCGAAGCAAGCCACCCTCACTCGGTGGCAGACGACCGATGCGTCTACGAGGCACATCATACGGTGCCTCCACATCGCGCTCTTCGTTTGCAGGGCAGACGCGCCGATCGCCATATTCGTACCGTTGTGCTGGTTTTTGGCGAAGGAAGGGTTGCCGGATTTACCACCCTCTAGAGGTTACGGCGCCTACTATACTGAGTAAGTGTGGGCGGTGGTAGACGTTCATGTGCTCTCGTTCCTAGTTCTTCCCCGTTTTATATCTTTAATAATGTTTACCGTGTTCTGTCACTGGCAGTTATGGATTCGAGGAAAAGTTGCCGCCATGTCAACGTACCTACAAGAGACACAGCGCGGCCACCTGCTGGAATCCCCTTGGCTTGGGATTTCACTGGACGAAATCACTGACCGTGTGCACGGGAAGCACCTCATCTTATATGCAACGTTCTTCAGAGGCAACTCAGTGGTAACCGAGTTTCTCACTCTTATCACAGTGGACCGTGCTGACGCTGCATCTCTCACCTCTGCCGTCGTGCAGTACCTCACAGGGATCGGCGTTGACCTTCAGAAGATCTCTGGGATCTCCACAGACGGGGCGAACGTCATGGTCGGGAAGAACAACGGGGTGGTTGCTAGGCTGCGAATGCGCATTCCACACCTGCCATCAATCCACTGTATCGCGCATCGGTGAGCGTGTGACCGACGTGTTAAATGTTGCTTCTGATTTCATGCTTATTTCCATAAGTTGTTTTTAACTAATTTCACTTATCTCGCAGGGAGGCCCTCGCAGCCCGTGATGCCGCCGACGAAGTCCCGGAGCTTCGCATGGTGGACGATGTGGTGCGGGCGTTCGCAGAGCACATCGGCCGCAACGGCGTTCACTACACCAAGTTTCAGAACCTGCAGCAGATCTTCTGCCAGACTAACTTGGAGGCGCAGGGAATCCACGCCGTGCGCTGGCTCTCCCGTGTTGAGGCGGTTCAACGACTGCTCGATGTCCTCCCTGTGGCCATCGTGGTGTTGAAGGACTATAAGGCGAAGCTGTACGAGGTGGTAACCTCGTTCAAATGCAGCTGCCTGACTTCATCAAGGCACATCAGAAGATGGAGAACAGAAAGATGAAGGCGGAGGGTGTAGACGGAGACGGGAATCCCGTCTCCTGTGAATTTGAACTTCACGAGAGGCCACTGCCAGACCATGAGACAGATGGTGATGTCACCGCCTGCTTCGAGCTCTAGTTGAAATTCATCCGTGCCGTGGATGCGGAGCTGGAGTGGCGCATGCGCGACCTCAACCTGCTAGAAGGTTCGAAGCTATTTCGCACAGCTTCGTACGTTCCAGATGATTCCAAGCGTCTAGAATCGTTCAAGAAGTGGCTCGGCCAGCTGCACAAACTCTACCACCACAAACTGCCAGGTAAGCAGCATGGTTGATTACTTTGCTACATGCTGCTCTATCTCATGCTGTTCGCCTGCCACATGCGTTACTGCCAGTGCCCCTGACACGGAGTAGTTGTGATCGAACTCCTTGTTTAAGTATGTGGACTGGTACATGAGAAATGCTTGTCTTCGTTTTTTTGCTTTAAAATCAGGGTTTCAACATTATTACCCTGATAGAATCAGTGTATGAGACGATTTACCCTGCTGCCATCAGGGTATGGAAAAAATTACCCTAGGGGTCAGGGTACTGGGAGCCTACTACCCTGATTACCAAGAGTGGCCCAAAACCAATTTTGGGCCCTGATTCAAGAGGCACCTGATTGTTTGGTAGGGTATTGCAATTGTAACAGAGTGTTATCGGGTAACAGTACCTAGAAATGAATGTACTTTCAAGGAGCAAGGCACGCCCTTACAGGTTGATGGCTCATGTGCCATAGAGTATCCCTAAGTAGTTGACAAACACTATTCGGTCAATACGATTATAGTAGATATTTTACGTATAATAAAGATGAATCATTTTTACATAAATAATAACAGGCCTTGCGGAAACCATAAGTAAAATCATGTCAAATACCAAAAGGATTAGTAGTCCGCTGCTGGTTTTATACACCATTGACTACACTATGCTTCTCCTCACTCTTCCCATATCAGCCCAGCCTGTCGGGGCGCAGCACCAGCACAGTGACGGCCGCGCTTGTTCTTGCCCCGTACCGCGTGCCGGTGGTGGGGCGCCAAGCGCCTCTTGCTTCGGACTTCCTACAAACCATGCCTCCGCCGCTTTTAGCCTAACAACCTTCGTCAGCGAGGGTGGTTAGTGGGGTTTAGTGTGTGAAATCGAGTAACATATTCTCGTGCAGCTCGATCTTCAGCAGTACAGCGCCGTCACCATGCAATCGCTACCGTCGGCTATTTGGGGAAAGCAATCGTCAATCGCGAAACATGATGTAACTCTTGCAGGCGAGAGAGCATGGGCTTGATGTGGACGCACATGCCTTCCAAGCTTGATGTTTCGTTGATGTTTGCGCCCATCACAGTGCTCTTGACTTGACAGCATCTGGGCGACGCTTATTGGGCGAGAGAGCAGAAAATGCAGGCACCCCCCTGCGCTGCGGTTCTGGTTGGCGCGCCTCGAAGTTTTCCTCCTGCCCGTAGAATCTCCCAAGACATTGCCCGCGACGCGGCCCGAACCTGTCCTGCGGCAACCCAACGAATTTCCTTCAGCCCCTTGCGGCGCGACGCGATTTGCAAACAAGGGCTGCGCCTGTAAACCAGCTGCTGCTTTTCCAGCCCCTCTTTCCTCCTACCTTTCCTGTCCCCTCCACGCCTTCAAGCCAATCCGCCTTTCCTCGCTCTGGATGCTTCAGTCTGATCCCTCCAGTAACCTGTCACCTGTTGCTGTCGTGTCGTGTCTAGTTCAGCTTCGGGTTTGCCGACTTGCTCTTGTCACATTTTCCTCGCAATCGTTTTGTAGAGATTGTTGTGCGAGTTACGCACAACCCTTTTCTTCCACAAATATTTGCAATCCATGGTCTCTTCCCTAGTGCTGCCGAGATGAAACGGTTGCCGCTAGGATGTGTAGTCCGCCCTCGGTTAATGACAGCTTACTCCCGTAGCAATAACTCCATCTACTCTTTCAGCCATAGTCATATACTCTCAACAGAGCCCCAGTACTGAGACCTGATTATTCAACGATTATCCGCGATTCCCGCAACTGGGATAAGAGGTCGTGCTCGCGTCTTTCCGAGTGGATTGAGTAGGTGGAGCTATGACAGCAGTTACTCCCATGGGCTGGGACCGCCGTCACTCCCAATCAGCAGCCGCCACGTCTTCAGGTCCCTCTCCTAGAGCTCCCCGTGGCGCGAACGGAGTTGCAGCTGGAGCTCCTGCAGCTTCGCCGAAAGCTCCGAGGACGTCCCCGTCGAACGGCACTCTGTCGGGCGCCGGCGGGCTAACCACTCGGCCGCTAGGTGCCTCGCCTCTGCCCCCACGCCTCGCGTCTCCGAAAGTTCCGCGTCCGAGTGTCGCGGCGACTCCGGCACCTAAAACGTCGCCGCAAACTCCGCGCAATTCTTCGATTGCGCCGCCGCCGGTGTTTTCTCCTCTACCCAACACGTGGTTAAACGACAAACTCTCCGGCCCCAAGGCGCACGGGAGCCTCCTCCTTTACAACCGCGGACTACCCGGGTCAGCGAGCGAAGGCGATAATCGCGAGTTTCGCGAAGTTCGCGAAGGAGCTTCTCCAAAAGTGTCGCTGGTTCGCCACGATGGCGCGGGAGGCGAAGTGCTCGTGCGAGCTTATTCGTTCCAGGGCGTACCCAGTGGCGGTGCTTCTGTCGCGGAAGGCCATCACGCGGAGAACGCGCAAACCGCGGGAGGCGCACAGCACGCGCAAACTGCGGCGGACGAGCACGGAGAGGATGGCGGAGCGCTCGTTATCGCGAACACTCTGCGTCACAACTACCAGCTCGGAAACCGGTCCGAATCGGCGACACGTTATCGAAATGGATATCTAGCTGACGTGGCAGTGACGGGGGAGGATCTGGCGGAGCGGATTGGCCTCCCTTCCCGCGCTCCTGCTTTTGCCGCTTACGTCGCCGCTTCGCGGAAGCTTCAGCTTCTTACACTGGATGAGCTGACACGTCAGCTTCAGGAGAGCGCAATCTGGCCGTCCAAGTTCGAGTCGCTCAAGCAACGGTTGCAATCGAGGGGCATCGCGTCAGCCGGCCAGGAAGCATCCAAGAAGCTTCCGCGGTTGCCGGCAGAGGGTGGCGGAAACTCGGGAAGTCCAACATCCGTCCTGGACAGGTCCTGCCATAAGCTCACCCGTTTACAGCCGCACCTTATCCAGTTTTACCGCTTTTGCCGACAGATGCTGCTGGATCTCCTCTTGTTGTCCGCGTTAGAAGCTGCCGACACCACGGATACGCGTTATACAGGCTCTCAGGGCTTGCCCTTTAACGGATTTGCACTTCCATGGGCTGCTGAGTTCGTTCCTACAAGCAGCAGCCTCGGAGCTATGGTCACAATCGATCGAGCATCGGGCGTCAGTAAAGCGAGTGGTGACTGTAACGGAGGAGCCGCGTTGAGGAGGCAGCAGCTCGCTGCCAGGTGGTTGGAGCTCTGCGCGGTCGCCGCTGGCGCGGGGAAGGATTTTGCGCCCGGTGAACGCGCGCAAGCGCAGGCGCAAGCTAAGCGGAAGGCGGCCGCTGGTTTGAAGGGAGCGTGGGACGCGGAAAAGAACGATGCGCTTTTTGAGGTCCTGTCGCGGATGCTGTTGGCGCTACGGATGGACGAAATCCTGGCGAATGTGGTAACCGGAACTGTTGACGAGGAGGAAGAAGCAGCGGCGAGCGCTGGGGCAAGCGGTAAGCGAGCGGAAGACGAATTGGTGAAGCGATGGCGCAGGCGCGCGAGTGACGGGGCGGGAACGCGAGGAGCGCTGGTGCTGGCGGTGAAGCTGAGCGGAACAGACGCGAGCCGCTGGGTTCTGCGGATGGCGGGCGGCGCGGATGCGCACGTGCGACGCGTGGCTGCTGGAGTCATTGATCGGATTCTGTGGGATGTCGAAACGGGCCGAGTGCAGAACGAACTCGAGAAAGAATGCGCCCGACTGGATTCGAACCCGCGACTCGGTGGACTCAGCGGGCCTAGAGGTCTCGCTGAAATTTCGTCGATTTTGTCATTACCCGATCCGCTTTCCAGCTCTTTGCCGAAATCGCCGCTTTCTTTGTCGTCTAGCGAGAGCGACAGCAGCGGAAGCGACGGGGAGGGTGAAGAGAAAGGCGGAAGGGCGGGCAAAAAAAGGCAAAGTTCCATCCCCGTTAGTAGCTCGGACGTGCTTATATCGAGAGTCGCTGGTGCTTTGGTTGCGTCTCTTAGTGCTGCTGCTGCCCTTCCTGCAGCCGCGAATGCTATAGCCGGCGCTGGGGGCGGAAGCAAAGCCCCTGCGGGCGGAAACATCTCAAGCGGAAATACTATAGGCGGAGGACTCTCCCCCGAATTGCGGAGCTTATCGCTGCCGACTGGAGTTGACCCACGGCAACTGCTTCCTACGTCATCGTCCACGTCATCGCCGCGGCCTTCCACGTCAGGCGGGTCCACTGCTTCTTCCGGCAGTAATGCCGCCCCCGCGCAAGGGGGGACCACTGCGGAAGGGGAGGACGAGGGGAGGAGCGCGAGCAACAGCAGCCGCGCGAGCAGCACCGAGAGCACCGCCGCGAGCAAACCAAAGGATGGCGCAGGATCCGCGCGGAAGAGCGGAGAGGGGGGATTCGGAGTAGGGAGCACTGTGCTGGGACTTACGTCACCGCGCGCACCAGCGGAGAAATCTGAGCAAATCCCGCAGCAAATCACGAGCAGAACGGTTCCCGTTTCTTCTCGGCTTTACAGCTCGGTTCCTTGCTCCCCAGCCCACCACGCGGGGGGAGGTTCGGGGGGAACGGTGGGGGGAGCGGCGCGGGGAGCGCGGTCAGGCAGAGGGGTTCTGGACGCCGAAGCGGCAGCGGCTCGGCTGCAAGCGATCGCTGCTGCAGCTGCCGAAGCTGGCTCCGACTCACGTTCGGAAAGGGGAAGGTCAGGTGCGCCCGAAAGTCCGCGATTTGGTGCAAGCCGGTTCCCTGCTGCGCCAGGTTCGGTTGTTTCCGTTTCCTCCGCGTACAGTGCATTTACTGTACCTCCTACCGCTATGTCACTAAATGGAGATCTGGAAAGGACGCTCGGAAGCAGCAGCGGGTTGCTGAATTTGGGCAGGCGAGGGTCAAGCGCAAGTGTCACGGGGGTCCCCTTCGCTAATGCTGGTTACCACAATAACAACGGTTTCACTCCCAGTGGTGCTGCGTATGGATACAGCGGGAGCGGGAGGTTTGGAGGAGAGGGAGGGGGTGGCGGAGCGGGAGGGGGAGGGCGGGGTGCCTCCGCAGCTGCCGCGGCAGCAGTTGCGGCTTCGCGGATGATGTCAAATTCGGTTCCGAGTTCCCCCCTCCACCCCCCGAACTCCCCCGTCCATTACGCGTCCACCCCAGTTCACTACAGTAACAGTTCGTATTCGCAAAACGGAATGCACAGTACTGCATATTCTACAGTGCATCAAGTTACAGCTCCTCATTTGGCTCAATTTCCATCAAGCCCGCGATATGTGATAAATCCCTCCACCCCTCGTTCTAGTACCACTGGCCTGTACAGCTCCAGCCCCAGACACCCAGGAGCCTCCTCCGCTTCTCTTTATAGTCCCAGCCCCTCCCACCGTTACTGCCCCAGTCCCTCCCCTCATTACAGTCACAGTCCAGTTCACCACGCATCATCTTATACTGCTGCTAGTCCGTCCCACCCAGGTACACTAAATCCTCCTTACTATACCCCCAGCCCATCTCACTACAGTGGTGGTGGAGGCTATCAATCCCCAAGCCCCTCTTATCACTCCTATCCGTCGCCTGCCCCCCAAACCTCTCCCCTTGTTCTCGGGCCAGCTGCGCTAGGTTCGGCAACAGCTCCGGCTGGGGGCAGGGCAGGCAGGGATAATGCTATGAGGGCAGGTAAGGCAGGGGGGGAGAAGGGAGCGAAGAGGGGTGGAGTTAAGAGCACCATGCGACAAAAGGCATTCTTTGGTGCTGGGGTGGTGTGGAGTGTGGAGGAGGGAGGATTGGAGGAGGCAGAGAGGGGGAAGGATGACAGTGGTGAAAGTGATGAGAGTGATTCTCGGGAGGGTGAGTATGACGAGGGGTCGAGCTCAGAAGAGGACAAGGACGACAACACGCTGGGCTTCTCAAGAAAATACAATACATCTGCGTCTTCATCTGCCTCTGCCTGCGCCTCTCCTTTCAACTCTGGCAATCCCAGTGCAGCCTACGCCCCCTCCCCTGCCCACTCAGCCCTCTCTCGCCCGTCCCCTTCTCGATCCACCTTCTCCTCCTCCCCAGCCCATGCCTCCTCTGTTAATTCACCTGCCCGGGCTGCCTTTTCTTCCTCGCCTGCCCGGGGTGCGTTCCCTTCAACTGCTATTGCCAGAAGCGCCTCCTCAGGCACTGCCTCTCCTGCTGCTTCTGCTGCAGTGGCCCTCAGGAGTGTGATGAAAGGATCGATCACGAACCCTCACAGCAGAGGGACGGTGCTGCGTCGGAGTCCCAGCGAGAGCGGGAGCAGTCGCGGTGATGGTGTTGGTGACAGTGGGGAGATGGCTATTGGGAGCACGAGTGGGGGAGGGGATGGTGGGGCAATGGTTCGAGCCAGCAGCAGCAGCAGCAGCAGCAATGCCAGCACAGGCAGCAGTGGTGGTGGTGACGGTGTGAGGGGAGGCCGGCGCAGATCGTCTAAAGTGACCTTCGCCAAGTGTGGGGAGATAGAGGAGGAAGCAGCAGAGGAGGCGGGTGATGTGAAGACGAAAATTTCAGCGCCTGCTGCTGCTGATGCTGAAGCTGCTACTGCTCCTGTCGCTGCTGATTCTGATGTTGCTTCTGCTTCTGCTTGTTCTGCACGTGTTGCGTCTCCTCCTGCCTCTGTTTCTCCTCCTGCTTCTGTTTCTCCTGCTTCTGCGTCTCCTCCTGCTTCTGTTTCTCCTGCTTCTGCATCTCCTCCTGCTTCTGTTTCTCCTGCTTCTGCATCTCCTCCTGCTTCTGTTTCTCCTGCTTCTGCATCTCCTCCTGCTTCTGTTTCTCCTGCTTCTGCATCTCCTCCTGCTTCTGTTACTCCTCCGGCTGCGGCCTCCATCTCTTCAGACGACCAGACAGAAACTTCAGGTGCGCTTTCCTTGCACCCAGAGTGTGCGTGCAATGATGCTATCTTGGATAACCGCCTTGTCAGTTTCACATGCCTTTCCAGTTTCACTGCCTTGTGCTAACCCACCGGTATGCTTTGTTGGTTTTGTCGACTTTATTACCGCGCCCCTTCTTGTAACAGGTGCTAGCCCATCTACACTACCTTCGGTGAGCCCGCCATCACCCTTGTCAGTCGCTGGCTCCTTCACCTCTTTTCTGCACGCACGCAACAACCGCCCTGCCACGCCTTCTGATTGCGCGAGCGAGAAATCATGTGCCAAGCAGGCCCCTCCTCCTCTGGTTGTTGCGGATGCTCGGGAAACCCAACCTTTGGGAGGAGTGAAGGTTGAGGGTTTGGAAGAGAAATCTGGTTCTGGGGAGAAGAAGAGGGCGTTTTGGAGGTGGAGGCCCTGGAAATTTTCAAAGTGAGACTGTACTATGGTGCTGATAGTGTTTCTATCAAAAGCAGTTTTTATAGTAGATGCCATATTGTTCATTCCTCATGAACATTAAAAAGGAAATCGCATTTTGTTTTTAAAGGCAGTCTGGTAGCCTGTTATTCAGCAATGTTTACTGTACCATAATATAGGAGTGGTAAATCTGTTATCAAACATACAAATCAGGGTCATCCAAATCAAAATGTTGTTTTGCGATAGGGCTGACATTATGCACCGCTACAAAGTCCAAAATTTCATGCGTCCAGCTTATACCGCAGACGACAAAGCCCTTGGGATTGCAAAACCTAAACCTCTCGCGCAAGGTAGCAACCAGGTCTTCACGACCTTTTTTTCCCGCACACTAGTTGGTCTCGCCTAGGCTGAGTTTCGCGTATTCCCGCATTTCCAGCGGGGCGTAAGCGTCGGCCGCGTTCCTTCGCGCACTCTCCCCTTCGCTGGATTTTTTTAGGCGAGCAACGTGTGCAGTGCTCGTGTTTCGCTTTGCAAAGTAACCCCTTCGCCAGGTGACACAAAGCTCGGCTTTGGCGCAGCTTCGGTTTAGAATCCTTGGTCATTGATCTGCTTTCAGGCTGAGCCGCCGTTAGTATGGCGCGGAAAGCAAAGAGTCCCGGAAGCGGAAAGAAGCGGGGGGGAGGCGGAGGCGGAAGGGGAGGGGGAGGGAGAATGGCCAAGGAGGGAGGCGGAGGGGGAGGGAGGCGTGGAGATCCGAACATGGGGTTGACTCGCGAAGACTTCGAAGACGAGATTGATGACTGTACGGTTTCTATTGTCCTAACTAGTGTCCAGAGAGCTCTGAGACCCTGCCACGTGGCAACGTGTGTCATCCTATAGAAATTGCTCCCTTTGTCAACGCTTTTCCGAGGTGCCGTAGGAGCAGACTATACCTTTCCCGCTACTAAACCTTCGTTACTGATCTGTCGTAACTGTACTTCTTTCCGCGCATTTCCCCCCCAGAACCCCAAACCCTGTTCCTCGTTCCATCGACGTTGTTCTCTGAAACCCTATTTTAGCTCTCCGTTCCCTTCTTCGCGGGTTCGATTTTCTTCATGTTGGCTTCTCTTCTTGTGCCCAAACCCGCCCTTTCTTGTAAACCGCAGTTCACAAACAGCGGGATATCATTCCTCTTAACGCGGATGATGGTGAGTCGCCTCGCGGATTCTTTTACTGCACAGGATGATGGTAAAACCATCATGTGTTATTGGTCCCGGTCCTGTGTAATTGCTCTTGATGCGCCGCACAGCACTTCACACCCATTTGATTCGCTGTTACCATGTAACCCTATTATCGCGTACCCTGTTATCGTGTTACTCTGTTACGTCTCCCAGTACGGCGAAGAAACCACGTTTCGCGTAAGGGTTTTATTTTCGTAAAGCTAAATTGTTTCCTTTTCCCCGTGATGCAGAATTCGAGGAGGATGATGATAATATTGAGGCCGACCTTAACGCGGCTGTCATGGACATCAAGGTAGGTTTCGTTTGTGACAACGAGCTTTTTTGTATTCACAATAACCTAATGTTGTGCTTTCAGTCTCCCCCCTCCCTCCCCCTCCCCTACCCTTTTTGCCCTGATAGCTGCTCAGTCCAACCAACCCCTCCCTTCTCGTCCTCCCTCCCACACCCCCGCCCTTTCCTCCCCCCCTTATCCCACCCACCCTCCCTCTCTCTCACTTCCCTCCCTTCCACCCTACCCTACCCTTCGATTCTCATTATAGGGCGCCGAAGACAGCGAGGAGGATGCAGATGATGACGAGGATGATATTGACGAGGACGTGGAGGCAGATATGCAGCTATCGGGCCTTGCTGCTAAAAGTGAGTCACCCTGCCATCCCCGTTATAATGTTGCATGGATAAATTTATAAAGAGGATGAGGATGATATTGACGAGGACGTGGAGGCAGATATGCAGCTCTCTGGCCTTGCTGCTAAAAGTGAGTCACCCTGTCATCCCCTTTACGATTTTGCATGGATAATCTATAAAGAGGATGAGGATTATTTTGACGAGGATGTGGAGGCGGATATGCAGTTATCGAGCCTTGCTGCTAAAAGCGAGTCACCCTGCCATCCCCTTTATTGAGTAGCTTCACATGTGAGACTCTGGACGTCCATCTATTGTGGAAAAGCGAATGACGTGCATGAGGGAGAAGACTGTTCGAATTCAGTATATGCATACATATACGTATGCAGGTACATACATTTTCAAACATGCATGTATATACAAATTATACATACATACATGTTCATGTACCCGTTATTTTTGTTTGTATACTGTGTAGAAGCAAGGCAATCACATGAGGATGAAGCTTGGGGGAGTGAGGCTTATTAATAATAGATGTATGTGTGCTTAATTTCTATGTGTTTGTTTGTCTACAGTGGAGAAACAGGCGAAGTACATGAGGATGAAGCTTGGGGGAGCGACACTTATTGATAATATGTGTACATATTTATTTTCTTTGTGTTTGTTTTTCTACAGTGGAGAAACAGGCGAAGTACATGAGAATGAAGCTTGGGGGAGTGAAGGAGGATGAGGAGGACGAGGAGGAGGGTGATGAGGATGATGAGGAGGATGGAGAGGGGGCGCTCTGGGGGCAGAAGAAACGGCAGTATTACAGCGCGGATAATGTGGATTACGAGGTAAGAGGCTTGTAACGGGTCTGCTTCAAGTGGGTATAGTGTCTGAATGAGAAGAGGCGGCAAGGATACAGCGGAGATAATGTGCATTTCAAGCTGGGACATTCTGGCCTATGCTACTATGTTTTGTTTTCCTGCCGCTATTCCAATGCGGATGACTAATGGCTGGTATTTACGTTCTGAAGTTCATAACTTTTACCTTCGTTGATTAATTCTCCTCTTCCCCTGTAACGCAGTTGCATATGGACGGCGAAACAGGGGCGCAGGAGGAGGAGGAGGAGGCGCTTAGGCTGCAGCAGATCGCAGCTGGATTGAGTCGACGCTGTCTGGAGACTGGCTGACTGATTGTGCCCTTCTTTTGCCCTCCTCCCTTCCTTTCCTGTCACACAGTTGCATATGGACGGCGAGACAGGGGCGCAGGAGGAGGAGGAGGCGCTTAGGCTGCAGCAGTAGATCGCTGGTGGGTTGCGTCGAGGATGGATAGAGACTGGCTGACCGCTTGTACCCACCCTCTTCCTGCTCCCTTCTTTCCCCTTCTTTTCCCTTCGTCCCCCCCCTGTTACGCAGTTGCATATGGACGGCGAGACGGGGGCGCAGGAGGAGGAGGAGGAGGCACTTCGGCTGCAGCAGCAGATCGCGTCTGGATTGAGGGTGGAGGATTATGAGGAGGAGGGGGAAGAGGGGGAGGAGGGAGAGGAGGAGGAAGGGGAGGAGGGAGAGGAGACGATGTTAGAAAAGGTGGAGAAGGAGGGGCGGAAGAAGGGTGATAAGGGGAGTGATGATCGGAGTGGTAAGGGCGATAAGGGGAGTGATAAGGCGTTGGAGAGAAAGGGGAGGGGGGCCGCTGTGGTGGAACGGGTGGTGAAGGATACGAGCCTGCTGACCAAGGAGGAGCAGATGGCGGCTTTGATGAGGTGAGATGCGGTGAAATGCGGTGCAGCGCGGTGCGATGCAGTGAGATGCGGTAAGATTTTTTCGGCGCCTCAGAAGAGGAGTGGGGCGGCTGTGGTAGAACGGGTGGTGAAGGATGCGAGTCTGCTGACCAAGGAGGAGCAGATGGCGGCGCTGATGAGGTGAGGTGCGGTTAAATGCGGTGAGAAGCGGTCAGGTGCCGTGAGACTGGGTTAGATGCGGTGAGATGCGGTGCTGGTCAGCATTGGTGAGCGTTTGTGTTGCAGTGTGCGAGGTCAGCAGTCCAGAGCGGGTTGTGAAGGATGCGAGTCTGCTGACCAAGGAGGAGCAGATGGCTGCGCTGATGAGGTGAGATGCGGTGAAATGCGGTGCAGCGCGGTGCGATGCAGTGAGATGCGGTAAGTTTTTTTTCGGCGCCTCAGAAGAGGAGTGGGGCGGCGGTGGTAGAACGTGTTGTGAAGGATGCGAGTCTGCTGACCAAGGAGGAGCAGATGGCGGTGCTGATGAGGTGAGATGCGGTAGAATGCGGTGAGATTCGGTGCACTGCGGTCAGATGGGTTAAGATGCAGTGAGGTGCGGTGCTTGTCAGCAAGGATGAGTTTGTGTTGCGGCGTGAGGGCAGCACTCAGGGACGGGTGGTGAAGGATGCGAGTCTGCTGTCCCAGGAGGAGCAGATGGCAGCACTGATGAGGTGAGATGCGGTCAGGCGTGGTGAGACGGGGTGAATCGGGGTGAGACGGGGTGAGATTCGGTGCGCCGAGGTCAGATGGGGTAAGTTGCGGTGAGGTGCGGTGCTTGTCAGCATGGATGAGTTTGTGTTGCAGTGTGAGGGGAGCACTCAGGAACGGGTGGTGAATGCGAGTCTGCTGACCCAGGAGGAGCAGATGGCAGCACTGATGAGGTGAGACGCGGTGAAATGCGGTCAGATGCGGTTAGACGGGGTTAGGTGGGGTGAAATGCGGTGCTGATCAGACGACCCTCAAGGAGCTCAACACCAAAGTGCTGCCGCTGGCTTATTCTCGTTCACTCCCTTTGCTCTCTCTCCCGTCCCCCCATTCCCCTTGCATTCACAGCGATGCCCCAGAGCTGGTGGGTCTGCTCTCAGACCTCAAGACAACTCTTAAGGAGCTCAACACCAAAGTGCTGCCGCTGCTGCAACAGGTGAGATGAGTGAGGGTTAGCTGGAAGCATGCTCACACTCGCTCACAGCACGAGTGTCTGCGTGTGTGTGTGTGTGCGGCAACGCTCTATCCATATCGCCTTTTCGCAAGACGACCCTCAAGGAGCTCAACGCCAAAGTGCTGCCGCTGCTGCAGCAGGTGAGCACGCTTACTCACAGCACGGGCTGCTGCTGCACTACTGCTGTTGCCTGCGTTGACCTTTGAGTCGACTCAAAAGTCAACTCTGCTGCAGCAGGTGAGCACGCTTACTCACAGCACGGGCTGCTGCTGCACTACCGCTGCTTCCTGCTCTTCTCCCTGCTGCTTCCAGCGCCGTCTTTTGACCCCGCTACCGCTGCTACCTCCTCTTTTGAACCCCTTCCCAGCTCCTTGGAGGCAAAGCACGGGCTACTGCTGCACTACTGCTGCTGTCTGCCCTTCGTCATTATGCTTCTGAGGCTGTCTTCTGACTCCCTTATTCCCCCCTTATTGACTCTCTCTAATCGACCAGGTGCGGGAGGGAGAGTACGGGCTGGAAGCAAAGCACGGGCTACTGCTGCACTACTGCTGCTGTCTGCCCTTCGTCATTATGCTTCTGAGGCTGTCTTCTGACTCCCTTATTCCCCCCTTATTGACTCTCTCTAATCGACCAGGTGCGGGAGGGAGAGTACGGGCTGGAAGCAAAGCACGGGCTACTGCTGCACTACTGCTGCTGTCTGCCCTTCGTCATTATGCTTCTGAGGCTGTCTTCTGACTCCCTTTTTCCCCCCTTATTGACTCTCTCTAATCGACCAGGTGCGGGAGGGAGAGTACGGGCTGGAAGCAAAGCACGGGCTACTGCTGCACTACTGCTGCTGTCTGCCCTTCGTCATTATGCTTCTGAGGCTGTCTTCTGACTCCCTTATTCCCCCCTTATTGACTCTCTCTAATCGACCAGGTGCGGGAGGGAGAGTACGGGCTGGAAGCAAAGCACGGGCTACTGCTGCACTACTGCTGCTGTCTGCCCTTCGTCATTATGCTTCTGAGGCTGTCTTCTGACTCCCTTATTCCCCCCTTATTGACTCTCTCTAATCGACCAGGTGCGGGAGGGAGAGTACGGGCTGGAAGCAAAGCACGGGCTACTGCTGCACTACTGCTGCTGTCTGCCCTTCGTCATTATGCTTCTGAGGCTGTCTTCTGACTCCCTTATTCCCCCCTTATTGACTCTCTCTAATCGACCAGGTGCGGGAGGGAGAGTACGGGCTGGAAGCAAAGCACGGGCTACTGCTGCACTACTGCTGCTGTCTGCCCTTCGTCATTATGCTTCTGAGGCTGTCTTCTGACTCCCTTATTCCCCCCTTATTGACTCTCTCTAATCGACCAGGTGCGGGAGGGAGAGTACGGGCTGGAAGCAAAGCACGGGCTGCTGCTGCACTACTGCTGCTGTCTGCCCTTCGTCATTATGCTTCTGAGGCTGTCTTCTGACTCCCTTATTCCCCCCTTATTGACTCTCTCTAATCGACCAGGTGCGGGAGGGAGAGTACGGGCTGGAAGCAAAGCACGGGCTACTGCTGCACTACTGCTGCTGTCTGCCCTTCGTCATTATGCTTCTGAGGCTGTCTTCTGACTCCCTTATTCCCCCCTTATTGACTCTCTCTAATCGACCAGGTGCGGGAGGGAGAGTACGGGCTGGAAGCAAAGCACGGGCTGCTGCTGCACTACTGCTGCTGTCTGCTCTTCTTCCTGTTATTGAAACTTAGTGTTGGACCCCCTCCCGTCTCGAACGTGACCAGGTGCGGGAGGGAGAGTACGCGACTGAAAATGGAGTATCCTACCTGGAGGCGAAGCACGGGCTGCTGCTGCACTACTGCTGCTACTGCACTACTACTGCTCTTCTCCCTGCTGTTTACTCACCCTAGGCCCTTGACTCTCACTCCTCCCCCTCCCCCTTTGACTTGACCAGGTGCGGGAGGGAGAGTATGCAACAGAGAATGGAGTATCCTATTTGGAGGCAAAGCACGGTCTGCTGCTGCACTACTGCTGCTGTCTGCTCTTCTTCCTGCTGCTCAGGGCGGAGGGCAAGCCAGTCAGGGACCACCCCGTGGTCTCCCGCCTCGTTGAGCTTCGGCTGTTCCTGGAGAAGGTGGGTTGGTTGTGTGGTGCTCGTGGTCTAGGGTTTTGGGGTTTGTGCTGCTGCTGTCTGCTCTTCTTCCTGCTGCTCAGGGCGGAGGGCAAGCCAGTCAGGGACCACCCCGTGGTCTCCCGACTTGTGGAGCTCAGGCTGTTCCTGGAAAAGGTGGGTTGGTTTTATTTGGGCTATTGCTGTTGCATGGTTTGCTGCTCTGCACCCTGCCTCCCACCCACTCACCCTCTCTCCCACCCACTCACCCTCCCTCCCACCCACCCCCACCCTCCCACCCACTCATCCGTTTTGAGTCCCAACTCTCTCTCCCCTCCCCCTCCCCCCCCCCTATCCCCCCCTCCCCACTCCCCCACTTCCCTCCCCCCTCCGCACACCCAACCCTCTCTCCCTCTCAAATCAGATCCGCCCTATTGACAAGAAGCTGCAGTATCAGATCGAGAAGCTTCTCAAGCTGGCCTCGTCGGCCAATCGCAGCGCGACACCTGGCAAGCAGTCCGCAGCAGCAGCAGAGGCCGGGGCGGGAGGGTCACTAGACGACCTGAAGCACCGCCCGAACCCGAACCTCCTAGTGTCGAAACTGGGGGGAAGTGGGGCCGATGGGAGTGCTGGTGCTGGGTTTGGGGGAGAGGATGGGGGCTTTGCTGCTGGGGCGGACGGTGGTGGTGCTGGTGGGATTTACAAGCCGCCTAAGATTGCCCCGATGGCCATGGATGGGGAGAAGGAGGGGGGGAAGAAGGGTGGAGAGGTGGGGGCGCGGCGGGAGGAGAGGGAGATGAGGGAGGCGAGGAGGCGCGCTGCCAGGAGCGCGTTTGTGAAGGAACTGGCAGAAGACGTGGAGGGACGACCGCGGGAGGTGAGTGTGATATAACACGACAGATGCATGAAAGGGGGATACAGGAGGCGCGCTGCCAGGAGCGCGTCTGTGAAGGAGCTTGCAGAAGATGTGGAGGGGCGACCGCGTGAGGTGAGTTTGATTTAACACCCTTGGGTTGGGTGGGTGGGCAAGAGGCGAGGGTGGGGATGAGGCGGGAGGAGAGGGAGATGAGGGAAGCGAGGAGGCGGGCGGCTAGGAGCGCGTTTGTGAAGGAGCTAGCTGAAGACGTGGAGGGACGACCAAGAGAGGTGAGACAACCGAAGATCGAGGGGAGGGAGATCAGGGCTATGGACCTGGAACTTGCAACCGAGCATTCGTTACATTCCCCCCTCCCCCCAACCTCTCCCCCCCAATTCCCGGCCCTCTCCTTCCCTCCCCCTCCCCCCCCTCCAACACACACACTAACACAGATGCGAGTGGAGTGGAGGGAGCGTCTACGATGATGGTGGAGGGCAAGGAGATGGAGAGGCTGAGGGAGGGAAAGAAGCTGCACACTTACATTGACCCACACTCACATGTCCCCCTCCACCCCCGCTTGTGCACAGATGCGAGTGGAGGGAGCATCGACGATGATGGTGGAGGGCAAGGAGATGGAGAGGGAGGTGGAGCGGCTGAGGGAGAGAATGAGGCTGCTTTTTTCCACGATGCTTGAATGTTTCACACTCGCATTGACCCACATCCTCCCGCCTCCCCACACAGATGAGAGTGGAGGGAGCGTCGACTATGATGGTTGAGGGCAAGGAGATGGAGAGGGAGGTGGAGCGGCTGAGGGAGAGGGCTGCAGCGGAGGAGAGGATGTTCTCCCGCGTGCCTCTCAATCGCGGGGAGAAGCAGCGACTCAAGGCACTCAAGCGGAGCCAGAACATGTGAGTTCACTTGATTGTGAGTGGGCTGAGACAGAGGAGAGGGAGTGGGTGTGAGAGAGGGTGAGGAGGAGAAGGTTTTTATTTTGTTTGTGCCTCTGAATCGTGGGGGAAAGCAGCAACTCGAGGCCGTCAAGAGGAGCCAGAACATGTGAGCTCGGTTGTGGGAGAGGTAAGAGGTCTTACTGGGTTGTGACAGGTTCGGGGAGGTAGACGCGCGAGTGTTCACCCGCGTGTCTTTCAACTGCTGGCAACATGGCAGCAGGGGAGGAGGGGGGCGCACAGCGATGTTGTTTAAGGGCGGATTCGATCGCATCATGGCAGCAGGCGAGGAGGGGGGCGCACAGCCCGGCCTCACAGCAGCAGGAGCAGCAGCTGACCAGTGGAGAGTGGAGAGTGGATGAGAAAGCAGCAGAGGAGGGGAGGAGGGGAGGAGGGGAGGAGGGGAGGAGGGGAGGAGGGGGGCACTTGACTTAACACTCTGGATTCTTGCCTCCCCTGCCCCTCTCACCAGGCTGGCTGGTATGCTGGATGACTTTGACGGCGATATTGCTGGCATCATGGCAGCAGGGGAGGAGGGGAGGAGGGGGGCACTTGACTTAACACTCTGGATTCTTGCCTCCCCTGCCCCTCTCAACAGGCTGGCTGGTATGCTGGATGATTTCGACGATGATATCGCTGGCATCATGGCAGCAGGGGAGGAGGGGGGCGCACAACCCGGCCTCGCAACAGCAGCAGGAGCAGGAACAGGAGGGATTGGAGGGTTGACGAGTGCTGGTATGCTGGAGTCGCTGCTGCGGCCGCGCAAGCTGTCAGAGGCGATTCATGAGGCGGGCAAGATGACTTCCCTCAGGGGAGCACAGGGCAGCAAGGTACGGTGCTGCTAGGTATGGTGTATAGTACTGTCATTAGAGTTCACAGGCATAGGAGGGTTGACGAGTGTTGGTATGCTGGAGTCGCTGCTCAGGCTGCGCAAGCTGTCAGAGGCGAGTCACGAGGCGGGCAAGATGACTTCCCTCAGGGGAGCACAGGGCAAGGTATGCTGCACCGACCGAGGTATGGAGCTCAGTATTCTGCACAAGTCTCTAGGTTTCACAGAGGTGGCAGGGCCTTCAAGTGCCGGTATGCTGGAGTCGCTGCTTCGGCCGCGCAAGCTGTCAGAGGCGATTCACGAGGCGGGCAAGATGACTTCGCTCAGGGGCGCACAGGGCAAGGTATGCTGTTTCTAGTGGTGTATTAACCCCATGTGTGGATGCAATCCTGAAATGCAACATTAATTGACTTCCCTCAGGGGCGCATCAGGCAAGGTATGCTGTTTCTAGTTGTGTATTAACCCCATGTGTGGATCCAATCCTAAAATGAAAAATTCATTGATTCTTAATCCCTTTATACCATGCTCTCTCTTCCAGGTGATATCAGTAGACGCTGATTTCCCCTTAAAGCCGGGCCTTTTAATGAGAGTCAGGGAGTCAAGTAGAGGTTCCCTAATTCGTCATCCCTTTACACCGTGCTCTCTCTCTCAGGTGATATCCGGAGACGCTGATCTCCCATTGAAGCCGGACCTGGGTGAGCGCCGCCGAGCCTACGAGGCAGGTGTGGTGGCAAAGCAGGTTCGGAAGCGAGGCTTGGAGGACCTAGGGTTCGATCAAGGAGACGAGGACGAGGGTGGGGATGGAGAGGGAGGGGAGGAGGACGAGTTTTACGCTGAGGCTCGGAAAATGCAGGAGGCTCGGCGGTCCGCCAAGGCTGCCAAATACTCTTCGTGAGTCTCTCTCCGCTGTCTTCTTTTAGGTTGTTGTTTGTTTGGTTGTTTTCCTTCGTTTTGGTTTTTGTTTGTTTGTTTGGTTGATTGATTGATTGATTTCCCTTTTATCCCTCCAACCCATCCACCTTCCTCTCCTTGTCAGCTCTGGCCTCATTCCTGAAGTCGAGCCCTCAGTGGACCAGGATGGGCGCTGGCAAATCACCCCCCAGAAACTCATGTCCTTGTGCTCTCATGCATCCCTGTGTCGCGCCATCCCAGCTTCCTCTTCCCCTCAGCTCTGGCCTCATTCCTGAAGCCGAGCCGGTCTCTCAGTGGCCGTTGAGTCGACCCGACCAAAACTCACCTACCCTTCCCCTCCCCCCTCCTCCATCACACTTTCACCCATCCCCTCTTCCTCTCCTTGTCAGCTCTGGCCTTATTCCTGAAGCCGAGCCATCGGTGGACGAGGATGGTCGCCGGCAAATCACCAACCAGGCACTCACGTCCTTGTGCTCTCATCCATCCTTGTGTCTCCCCATCCCAACTTTGTCTCCTTGTCAGCTCTGGCCTTATTCCTGAAGCCGAGCCATCGGTGGACGAGGATGGTCGCCGGCAAATCACCAACCAGGTACTTCCTTCGCACCCGTTCTTGTATTCACATCCTTCCGCTCTCATCCATTCTTGTTTTCACATCCTTCCGTATGCATTGAGGTCATTTTTGAGACACCTAAAATTGTCAAATCACCAACCAGGTACATCCGTCGCATCCGTTCTTTTATCACAACCTTCCGCTCTAGTCCATTCGTGTGTCACCCCATGCTTCCTGCACCCACCCTCGCTCGCCCATCTCTTCCTGTGCCTCCCGAATCGATTTAAACCTCAGCCCATGCACCCACCGTTCTCCACCCTTATCTATCCCTTCCTGTGATGTCTGAGTTGAACCATTGTCACCCCATGCATGCACCATTCTCCTCCCTCGTCCGTCCCTTGCTGTGACTTACGATTTCGAATGATGGTCACTCAACCCATGCAACCAACATCCGTCACCTGCTTCCATCCCTTCCTCTGTGGCAGATTGAAAGGAATCGCGGCCTGAAAGCACACCGCAACAAGGCGGTCAAGAACCCTCGCAAGAAGTACAAGGTATGCAAATGCTAGTGCAGGTATCACACAATTTGAGCAGCCTCCCACCCACTTCAACCCCTCCCAGCCCCCTCCGACACCCTCCCGCTCCCCACTAGATCCTGGTTGCAAATGCCAGTACATTCTCCCCTCCCTTCCTCCCCCCCCTCGCTTCCTCCCTCGCTTTGTCATTTCAAACATTTTTTTTTACCCTTACCGTATGTCGTTTCTCAATTCTTTGTGGTTACAGCTCAAGCATGCGAATGCTGTGGTTCGTCGCAAGGGCCAGGTGCGAGACGTCAAGCGTGAATCTGCTCCTTACGGTGGTGAATCGACCGGTATCAAGTCCAGCATCAGTCGCAGTGTTAGGATCGGCTGAAATTAGTGACTGTATTGTCATTTGGAAGGTTTTTTGCTGTGATTTGGGAGCGTGGTTGTGGTCATACAGACAGCTTGTAGGCTTGGTTGCTTGATTAGCGGAGCCTCCATCACAGCATTTATGCATTCACTAGGCTGTGACATCTAAAATGGGATCGTCAAAATTAAGCAAGCCCACACAATTATATTGTTATATTGTTCAACCCGTGAACGGTGTAGGGAGGAGAGTACCGCCAGCATGTGTTGACTGTCTACACTACGGCTGTATCGTGGATTTTTTGGGAAAATATGCCATAAGTAACCAACTTGGGACTCGATAACGTGAATGGTAAAAAAAACGCGTATGGTCACTGTATCGGGTTTTCTGACGGGTTTGGTAAGTGGGGTCACGGATTCGGTCACTAACAGCAGGTAAAAAATACAAATACACCTGATTTGTTGTGACCAGTTACGACCAAAAAATACAAATCCTTCTCGACAGCTCAGCGTGTCGGGATCAACTGATTGGCTGGCGAAGAATGCCAGACAGGAAATGTGTGGAAGCCGTCGGCCCAGAGCCACTAGATTGCGGAGAAAGGGCACTCACACGTGCCTCCACCGCCGTGATCTCCCCCTCGATATTTGCACAAAGCCAGCACTCGCTGAAATCTAGGAAATGTTTTGTGTTTCTGTGGATCCATTCCGTTCTCCTGCTCACCAGTCCTCCTAGGCTCGGTCGCCAGAAGTGCTGGACCGCCAGAGGCCAGCCATTTCTCCTTGCATCACCGGCCTAGAGTTTCCCACACCGAATGGACGGCTACGATCTGTGCGATCTGGTCGCTCTGTTAGTGCATCCTCATTCTGACGGAGATTCCAACTCATACGTCTACAGTTCCAATCTCGTGGCTCAGACAGGTTCCATACGGTGTGAAACGGTTTCTGAGCCTCACCGTTTTGCACCGTGATAAAACATATTATACCGCAAGAACGTACAAGGGACATACCACTTGGATCCCCCCTATTCAGTATTTTCAGTCAAGCCAGCCCCTCGGTTTCGGTTAGCTAGAAAGTTACAGCAACACCATGGCCGCTCTCGCAGTTGTTGTATTCTGAGGAGCTTGTACAATCAGGGGCCAACAAGCACATAATTAAAACAGGCAAATTGAGGAACGAGTGCCAATTGATTTGTTAATCGGCTTCGAAGCGTACATTGTTCAGTTGACTTTCTCCCACTCTCTTCTCGTTGAAGATCTCCAGTCTGGTCAGCGTCTGGAAGGACCGATCTAGGTGACTGAGCAGTCTCGTCGTAAGCGTGCTCTGGCTTCCTTCATCGACTGAAATTATGGACTTCGTAGGAACGCTTTCCCGGCCGATCGCTTCGCAACCTCAACAACTTGTTGGAAGAGGGCGGATCTGCTCGCAACGAGATAAAAAGGGCTACTTGTCTGTCGCTGTAGCTCTCACTGGCAATTCCTCTCCCATTGTAACGTCTTTGGAGAAGAGCAACACATCCTCGAAAAAAAACAACGCGTCCGCGACTAGTGTCAAAGCGCCGCTACTCCAGTCGGAGAATGGCGCGATAGCTGGCCGACCATCCTCGCCGATCCAAGAGCATGCGTCTTCGTTCAATGTACCTGGCGTTGATGAAGGGTTGATCTGGACGGAGGGAGGCTCCGAGCAGCTCGGAGCACTGCTCGAAGGAGGGAGTGTTTACCGAGAGAGATTCGTCATCAGGTGTTACGAAGTCGGCGTTCATAAGACCGCGTCGATAGAGACGATCGCCAATTTATTGCAGGTGAGATGATTGACTCCTGGAAGATTTCAGTGTAAAGTACCTGCGTTCGGGTTCTGTAAGCTTCAAATAATTACTCCATTTGCTGGATCTTCCAGGAGGTGGGGACCAATCATGCTCACAGCGTTGGATTCTCCAAAGACGGCCTGGCAACCACGCCAGCCATGCTGAGACATAATTTAATTTGGGCAACAACTCGGATCCACATCGAGATGTACAAGTACCCTACTTGGTAACATTTCAGCTAACATACTCATAGCCTCATTTCGTCCTTTCAGTCGAGTCACATTGTGTGCTTCTTGGTACATCTTTCCGACTTCATTTTAGAATTCACCTTTCGCACTTGTCTGACAACAGGGGAGATGTCGTTGAAATTGACACGTGGTGTCAGTTAGAGTCAAACATATTGACACGGCGAGACTGGATCATTCGGTTGTCAAAATCTGGTGACGTCATTGGTCGCGGCACCAGGTAAGAGTTAGCGTTACTATGAGTGCCTATCTTCTCGTTCTCTTCCGTTTTCTCATAGTCCGCTAATAATGTTATACCTATTTTATGCAGCTCCTGGGTGATGATGAATTCCAACACACGTCGTTTGGCTCGAATTCCGTCTGATGTGTGGGAGGAGATTATTCTCCATTGCCCTAATCCTTCCCTGTAAGTTTCTTTTGCGTGCACTTCATCACAAGCACAACTTTACTCCATGAAAGTAAAAAGGGTTTGAAGTTAACGCTAAGTCATCTTTGGTCCATTTCTGAGCAGCTATGCTCTTCCCCCGGACGCGGTGGACAAGTTGCCGAAGCTCAAAGAGCCCGCTGACCATTCCAAATCGAGTCTCTGTGTGAGTGCTGTTACTGTGGTTACTCTACAGTTGTTAGTGGCGTTGTTCCTCAATATGCTGTTTGCATCAACGCTATTCATACGTTCACAATGCCGTTTTAGTCGAATGTCGTCTTTATTGTATTGACGCTCCCATCAAGTCAGTCCTCCCTGTGCGGTTTTTACTGAAAAGGCCACGTTGCTGCTGCCGCGACTTGCAGGCCAGAAGAAGTGACTTGGACATGAATCAGCATGTCAACAATGTAACTTACATTGCATGGATGCTCGAAGTAAGTGGTTGCTACCTCAGGGGGTATCCAACTCGTACGCTCCTTGAACGTTCTTTGCGGTCTAATTGGTTGTGTCAAGGTGCAAAACGGCAAACCACAAAAACCGTTTCACACCTTATGGAACCGTTCTGAGCCACCAAGAATGAACTGTAAACGTTCGAACTGCACTCTCCCTCGCTATGCCTGTTCCTTTTAACATGCTCCATGACAATGGACATCTGATACATGTTCTTTTTAGACCCTTTCACTTTCCAGTTTTGCCCTCCTTCACGTTCCAGTCTTTTCACTCACCTCTCCCATCTGCCATTCCCTCACCCTTCTCTCCCTCTCCATTTCGCTTTCGAACCTCGTCATTCCCCCTACAGAGTTTGCCGCAGGATCTTGTCGACAGCTCGGAGCTGGCTCAAATAAGCATTGAGTACCGGCGAGAATGCAGTCAGAATGACATGGTGGAGACAATGGCCAGTCACACAGCGCCAGCTGCCAAACCAGAGGCCATCAAACAGTGCACCACCACAGATGGTGTCCTTTTGTCAAAGGAATCCGAGGAGGCGAAAGGTGTCTGCTTGTTAACACTGGTGGAGCGAGAGCGGCCTGAAGAGCTTCAGCACTTCTCGCACATCCTGCGGCTTCAGGATAGTAAGAAAGAGATCAATAAGGGTCATACGGTTTGGCGCAAGAGGAGATAAATTATTGTTTGATGCAGGTTGCTGCACGCTCAACTCTACAATGCAGTTTGCACTCTCCAATGCGCATTGGCAGTGACAAGGGCTGACAATATCAGACTAATAAATAGTCTGATTAGTCTGAAGAATCAGACCATTACCGATCCCTGATTAGTGTCTTAGAGTAGAAGAAAAAATGGGGGTGAAAATCAGAGTGCCCCATACTTTGAAACGCCTACGTACGGTACTCAAATTGTTGCATAGACTTGGTTTGTACTCAAATAGTACCGGTAAGCTGGCACTTAGGAATTATGTTAGTATGGTATGCATTGTTCAAGTTCTGTTCCGGTTTCAAATGAAGAGTTCTGATTTTTTTGTGTACTGAACATTCCTGGGAACCTGTCACAAAACTTGTCACTAAAGCAGTTGACCTGAGGCTGAGGTAGTTTTGTACTGGTACTCCCTTCAAATCTTGTGTTTGTGATGCAAGGTGATTGTGGTGCGTACTAGAAATGTTCCCTCATTGTTTTTCCTCAGACAGTGTGATACTTCCACTGAAGTGTACCACATGGAAACCTTTTTGCTTCACTTTCGGAAATGGAAGTTAATAACCGAAGGCTGCATAAAGGTCTGCTGCACTGAGATGGCGAAGGGAAGAAACGGGTGGAAGATATACGTTGCCACTCTCTTTATCCGTGCATCTGGGTTTGCAGACTCGTAACCTGCACCAAGACAAGCAATACCGTACACAAAATAATATTGAGCATCTGCCTGACTGAGGCAGGAGGCACACGGAAACAAAAGCTATAGCCCAGGGACCTAGTCCTGCAAACCAGCAGGGACAGGAAAAAAAAAGAGCTTTAGGCACTTTTTTGTTTCAATACTTTGAGCTTTAGTCACATGGTCACATGCCGCTGAGATCCTCGAGTTCTAACGAGAATACAGAGTCTGGCAGGAGTTGCAGAGAATCTGCATGCCCTCAGCATACCTGGGTTGATTTTGAACTTGAGGACGTTCGGGCGGCGCCGAAGGATAAACTTGATTGGGTGCTCCACACAGGGCTTGTGCCGGTCCGACGCGGATATGAGCTGGGACGGTGGGAGGAGAGGAAGATAGAGGCCTAATAATGAGGTTACGGGTACTGTTGGGTCGACTCAAAATATTTGAAGGAAGAAATTGATTGTGTGCTCCACACAGGGCGAGTGCCGATCCGAGGCAGATATGAGCTGGAGTGGGACGGCGGGGGAGAGGAGGCATGCTGGTGATGATCACTTATGATTCGACCAAAAATTCGCAGGATGAACTGGATTGGGCTCCACACAGGGCTTGCGCCGATCCGATGCAGATGTGGGCTGTGATGGTGGGAGGAGAGGAGGCATGCTGGTTAGAAATGATATGAGCATGCTGGTTTGCCTGACGGCTAGACACATGGAACAACAGAGAGTGGTTATGAGGTTATGAGAGGTTACGAAGATTACAAGAAGTTTTTTGAGTTACGAGAGGATATAAGAGGGTTAGGAGAGGGTTAAGAGGAGGTTATGAAAGAGCTATGCCAGAGGGCTATGATAAAGTTACAACGCGGGCTAGCATTGCTGCCACTCACCTTCTTGCCAAAGTGAAAGAGCGACTGATCAAAGTAGGGCGAGGGGGAGTGAGTCTGTGCGCTGTCAGCGAAGTGAGGGGTAGCACGTCTGTGCTGTAAAAGACAAGGGGTGGGAGTAGCACCCATCATTGCTGCCGCTCACTCACCTTTTCATCAAAGTGGAAGAGCGACTGGTCAAAGTAGGGTGAAGGAGAGTAGGTCTGTGCACTGTAGGGCAGCGCAGCCAGCATCCGCTTGATTGCCTGCAAAGACAGAAAGAACATGTGGAGGTGGAGTGTGGGAACAGATAGGCGAGGGCGAGGGCGAGTAAGTCTGGGCACTGTAGGGCAGAGCAGCCAACATTCGCTTGATGGCCTGCAAAGACAGAAAGAATACGTGGAGGTGGAGTGTGGGAACAGATGGGAGAGGGGGACGGGGAGTAAGTCTGGGCACTGTAGGGCAGAGCAGCCAGCATCCTCTTGATTGCCTGCAGATTCAAAATGAACATGTGGAGGAGGGTGAGCGTGGGACCATATAATTGTGATTTCTGAGTCGGCTCAACATGTGGGAGCAGAGAAGTTAGCAGCTGCTTGATGGCGCTACAGGGCAGAGCTGCCCACAATCACTTTTTTGCCTGAAAACTCAGAAAGAACATGCGCTAGTGATTTCTCTCATACATCTTGTTTTCTCATACTGGGTTTCTTGCCTTTGCCTGCTCACCTGCGTCTGAGAGCCTCCCTTGCACGTCACAAGCGCAGCCTTCTGATTTTATAACGCCTCTCAGTCAAACACGTTGTTGGCTCCATGCATGTCACTGCGACTCTTCCTTGCGTGCTCACCTGTGTTTGAGACCCTCCTGTGCCCGCCCCCTTGTCTGCGATACCCCTTGCACGTCACAAGTGCTGCCTTCTGCTTCTTGAAACACGTTGTTGGCGCAGCTGCTGATGAACGAAAACCGACCTCTTGAGGCACTTCAAGAGACGTTGTTTGTTGGGGCAGCTGCTGATGAACGAAAACCCCACCAGAGGCCTAGGCGGCATCACTGCGCTGCTGCTGATGAACGAAAACCCCGCCGGGGACAGAGGCGGTATCACTGTGCTGGCTACTTGGTTAGCTGGTTATATGGCTCGCTCACCTGTGTCTGTGACCCTCCCTTGCACGTCACAAGAGCCGCCTTCTGCTTCTTGAACGCCTCTCGGGCAAACACGTTGTTGGCGCAGCTGCTGATGAACGAAAACCCCGCCGGGGACCGCGGCGGCGCTCGAAAGTGGTCGCAGAAATGCTCAAACGCGGAGAGAAAATCCTCCGAGGAGTTCTGCATGGCAAAAAAACAGAGGGAGGCAAAAAGCGAGCAATTAAACAAATAAACGGTGAGTAACAGAAAGATGAGCATGCATGCAGTGGTCGCGGAAGTGCTCAAACGCGCTGATGAAGGCCTTTGCTGGCCGAAAATCCTCCGATGAGTTCTGCAGCGAATTTCAACTGAAATATGAGTATGCATGCAGTGGTCGCGGAAGTGCTCAAACGCAGACAGAAAATCCTCCGATGAGCTCTGCAGCGCAAGAAATGGGGAGAGAGAAACCAGAAGGTGAGCATTGAGTCGACTCGGACGGAAGTGGTCGCGGAAATGCTCAAACGCAGACAGAAAATCCTCAAATGCTCAAACGAAGTGGTCGTCCTCCGACCGACGAGCTCTTTCTGCAGCGCAAAGGCACAAGAGAGCAGCAGATGAACAGTTACAAAACACACACACACGAGACAAAATCAGAACGGAAGGAATCCTCGCATTGGCGGGGTGAAGGGGCTTTGGTGGGAGCTGTCATGTCAGATACTCTTGAATCGATCTGAAGGCAACTAAGAACCTGATAGAAGCAGAGCACCCGCGTTGTCACGAAGTTGTAAACGGTAAAGAAGGAATTCTGGTGGGAGCTGTCAGACGCTCGCAGCACCACCCCCTCGGTGCTCTGCAGTCTACTCACCTTCTACCAGCAGAGCACTCACCTGATAGGCGCCTCAAATGTACCTGGTAGAAGCAGAGCACTCACCTGGTAGAAGCAGAGCACTCACCTGGTAGAAGCAGAGCACTCACCTGGTAGAAGCAGAGCACTCACCTGGTAGAAGCAGAGCACTCACCTGGTAGGCGCCTCAACCTCAAACATACCTGGTAGAAGCAGAGCACTCACCTGGTAGAAGCAGAGCACTCACCTGGTAGAAGCAGAGCACTCACCTGGTAGGCGCCTCAACCTCAAACATACCTGATAGAAGCAGAGCACTCGCGTTGTCACAAAGTTGTAGACAGTGAAGAAGGAGTTCTGGTGGGAGCTGTCAGATGCTCTTGACTCAGTTGACTTGACTGACCAACTGAAAGGCCGTCTACTCACCTGGTAGAAGCAGAGCACTCACCTGGTAGGCGCCTCAACCTCAAACATACCTGGTAGAAGCAGAGCACTCGCGTTGTCACAAAGTTGTAAACGGTGAAGAAGGAGTTCTGGTGGGAGCTGTCAGATGCTCTTGAGCTGGTACTGCACTCAGTTAACCCCCCCTCACGCACTGCTATGCCATCTATGCACCTGATAGAAGCAGAGCACTCGGGTTGTCACAAAGTTGTAAACGGTGAAGAAAGAGTTCTGGTGGGAGCTGTCGGATGCTCTTGAGCTGGTACTGCACTCAGTTAACCCCCCCTCACGCACTGCTATGCCATCTATGCACCTGATAGAAGCAGAGCACTCGGGTTGTCAGAAAGTTGTAAACGGTGAAGAAAGAGTTCTGGTGGGAGCTGTCGGATGCTCTTGGCTTGATTGAATGGGTTGACTCACTCACTGCTGTTCTGTCCACTGACCTGGTAGAAGCAGAGCACTCGGGTTGTCACAAAGTTGTAAACGGTGAAGAAAGAGTTCTGGTGGGAGCTGTCAGACGCTCTTGACTTGGTTGACTCGGTTGACTCGGTCAACGCTATGCCAGCTACCCACTGATAGGCGCCTAATACATACCTGATAGAAGCAGAGCACTTGCGTGGTGACAAAGTTGTAAACGGTGAAGAAGGAGTTCTGGTGGGAGCTGTCGGATGCTCTCAGTATTGCTTAACCAACTGCACGGCCATCTACTCGCCTCAAACATACCTGATAGAAGCAGAGCACTCGGGTGGTGACAAAGTTGTAGACAGTGAAGAAGGAGTTCTGGTGGGAGCTGTCAGATGCTCGCAGCACCACCCCTTCCGTGCTGCCCAGGCGGATAAGCAGATGGCAGCGATCCAACAGCTGAGCCTGGAGTGGGGAGAGAAAGCAAGCGGTTGAAAGAGAAAGGGCACAAGGACAGGAGGACATGATGGGTGGGTGGGGGCGAGTTGGAGGGCTGGGGGATCAGATGTTTGCAGTACCACCCCCTCGGTGCTGCCCAGGCGGATGAGCAGCGGATGGCAGTGGTCCAACAGCTGAGCCTGGCGTGTGGGGCGAACCATAGGAGGAAGAAAATCAGTACAAGGAATTTCATGGGAGACTTTAAAATCTCCTCACATGCTGGTTACATCCTCCCCTTCCGATGTTGTGCCACAAGCACTGGTGTACTGGTGTGCACTGCGCACACACCTTCCAGATGAACAGATCCGAGTTCGTAGTGCTGAAAGTGGTACAGAAATCTCCTCACACACTTAATGTTTCATGCCCATCCATCATAGTGCATCATATCAGAACACACACTTACCTTCCAGATAATAAGATCTGCGTAGTGTTGAAAGTGGTACAAGAATCGCTTCACACGCTGGTTGCCTGCTCCCCCTCCTCCGTCCCCCCTGCTGCCATCCACCCTCCCCAGGAGCCCCTGAAACCGCTCATGCTGCTGATGCTCCCCAGACCCCACCGCACCAGACCCCACCACACTCGACCCCACTGCATCCCCCAGGTGGCACTCAAACACATGCACCAGCAGCCGCTGCATCAGCACACTCAGCAACCCGCCCCCTGTTAACAGCCCCCCCGCATTCACCATCCCCCCCCCCACCCCTAAATTGCCCATAGCTCTCATTCCCACCTCCTCCCCTTCCCCCCTCAACATCCACCCCCCGTCACCCCACCCACTCGACTCCCCACGCCCTCCTTCCCTCTCTGACCCGGCTAGAGCACCCCCGAATCCACCTCCCCCTGCCGCCCCTGCTCTCCCCCCTCCACCCGTTCCTCCCACTCCTCCCATTCCTCTCCCTCCTGCCCCTCTTCCCCCTCCTCGCCCTCCTCCCACTCCTCTCACTCCTCCCGCCCCTGCTGCTCCTGCTCCTGCTCCTGCAGTACCATCTAATCTCCCAGCACCACCAGCAGCACCACCACCACCAGCAACACCACTACCACCAGCACCACCAGCACTAGCGCCATCTGCTTGTCTACCCTCCCCATCCCTATACCCATGCTCATGGCCAGGTCCCAAGCTGCTCTGTCCATCCCCACCATCCCTTCCCAATCTATCCCCATCTCCTCCTTCCCCCGCCAGTTCCGCTGCTCCCACTCCTCCCCCCATCTCTCTCCCTGCTCCTTCTTCCCCTGCCCCTCCTGCTGGAGCCCCTGCCCCTGCTGCTGCCCCCACGCTCTCACTCCCCCTCCCCCCTGTTCCTCCCCCCAACTGCTGCCTCGTAATCGCCTCCGTATTCCCCCTGTCACTAACAACATACCTCGCCACCCCGCTGCCGCCCGTTCCCGACCCGCCGCCGCCCTCCCCCGTCTGTCTGCTGCGCCGCCTCCTGCTGCCCCTCTCTCTGCCCCCTCTCTCCCTCTCAGATCCCCCTCCCCCTATCCCTCTCTCCCTCCCCTCTCCCTGACTCCTAGACCCAACCGTCCTCCCACTCAACCCCCTCTCTCCCCCTTCCCCAGTGCTTCCCCCCACGCCCCTCCCCCCCGCTGCTGCTCCCATCGCTCCAAAGAAAAACGGGAGACCCCCTCTTGCTGCCCCCCCTGACCTCGTCTCTCCGTGCCTCATTCCCCCACCCGTACGCTCGTGCTCACTCGCACGCGAGTGCGAGTGAGAGTGAGCGTGCGAGTGAGCATGAGAGTGAGTGTGCGAGTGAGTCTGGGAGTGAGTGTGCGAGGCGGAGTGGGACTGTGACTGAAACGACGCTTGTCCATCCGGCCCATACGAGAGGCTAAAGAGGCTAGATCCAAAGGTAGACATGGTAAGGCTGTGAGCAGCAGCCCCCCCTTGCATCCACACATCCCCACCCCTCCCTTCCCCTGCTCCTCCTCCTGCTCCTCCTCCTCCTCCTCCTGCTGCCACCCCTCCTCCCCCTGCCCCTCCTTCACCTCCTCCTGTTCCTCCCCCTCCACCTCCTCCCCCTCTCCCTCTCCCTCCGCCTCCCTCTCTTCTCCCCCTTCCCCCACCACCAGGGGGACCCATTGATGTGTGCGGGTCTAGCAGGCGCCCATCCTCCCCCCCATACCGCCTTTCATACAGCGCTACCCCTCCCACTCCCCCGGCTACTCCTCCTTCTCCTCCTCTTTCTCCTCCGCTTTCTCCTCCTCCCGATTCCTTCCTTCTGTCACTTCTGTGACCCGTTTCCTCTTCCCCTGCCCCACCTCCTCCTCCGCTTCCTCCTTTCACTTCCCTTACCCCCTGGTCACCTACAGTGGCCCCTTCTCCTCTTTCCCCACCTCTTCCTTCCTCATCCGCTCCCTCTCTTACACATTCAGCCTTTTCCACCACTCTTTCGCTTCTCTCTCCTCCCTCTCCTCCCTCCTCTCCCCCATCCCCACCTCTCACCCCCTCTCCAGCCTCCCCTGCTTCATCTCTCCCATGCCCCTCCACACCCTCCTCCCTCACACTTTCCAATCTCAATCTCAGCCTTTTCGACCCCTGCTCGTTCTGCCTCCCATCCAAATACCCTCCTCCCAACCCTTGCGTCTCTTTCCGCTTCCTTTCCTGTCCCGTCCCCCTCTCGACCCCCTCACCCCTACTCCCCACACCCTGCCCCCTCTCATCCGCCTCTCTCCCCTCCTCTCCCCTCGTTCTACCATCATCAGCCCTTCCCTCTAAAACCGTACTCCTGCCTTTCCTCTCTGCATCACCCACCCTCTCTCCCTCCCCTCTTTCACCTCCTCCCCTCGCTCCTCCCAATCTCCCTCCCCTTTCCTCTCCATCTCCCCCCTCCCGCCCTCCCCTTCCATCTCCCTCCCCCCTCCCGTCCCCTTCCTCCCCCTCCTCATCCCCCTCCTCATCCTCTTCCGTATACCCCCCCACACCCCCCTCACTTATCCCCTCCTCCCCACCCACACCCGCACTCCCCTCACCACCCCCTCCCCGCCCTCCCATCGCCTGCCTCCTCCTCAGCTCAGCCAAATGCCGCTGGAAGCGCCACTCCTCGTGGAAATGCGACTGCAGCAGCAGCTCATCATCGTCACATCCAAAAGGCCCGATAACTTGCACGTCTACAAACCGCTCTGCTGCCTCCACTATCTGTGGTGGGGGAGGGAGGGAGGGAGGGAGGCATGGGTTGAAAGTGCGACTGCAGCAGCAGTTCATCATCGTCACATCCAAAAGGCCCGATAACTTGCACGTCTACAAACCGCTCTGCTGCCTCCACTATCTGTGGTGGGGGAGGGAGGGAGGGAGGGAGGCATGGGTTGACTGCAGCAGCAGTTCATCATCGTCACATCCAAAAGGCCGATTACTTGCACATCTACAAACCGCTCTGCTGCCTCCACTATCTGTGGTGGGGGAGGGAGGGAGGGAGGGAGGCATGGGTTGAAAGTGCGACTGCAGCAGCAGTTCATCATCGTCGCATCCAAAAGGCCCAATAACTTGCACGTCTACAAACCGCTCTGCTGCCTCCACTATCTGCGGTGCAGGGGGGTGGGGAGTGGTGGAGAGGTAGGATGAGAGCAGCAGCTCATCATCGTCACACACCCAAACGGCCCCACCACCTGCACATCCACAAACCGACCAATCCACCACCCTCACCTGGAGAGAAGTAACTCCTTATCACTCAACTCACCTGGAACAAGTGGATTCTCTGGAAGCGGATGCTGAGCACGGACAGCAAGTCGTCGGACAGAAACGAGTCGGGTAACATCGTCTAAGTGTTACTTTGGATCACAAGATTCTCACCTGGATGGAACAAGTGGATTCTCTGGAAGCGGATGCTGAGCACGGACAGCAAGTCGTCATATAGAAACGGATGAAGGGGTACATTGCATCGTAGTGTAACTTCTTCTCAGTCAACTCACCTGGAACAGGTGAATTCTCTGGAAGCGAATGCTGAGCACAGACAGCAGGTCGTCGTACAGAAACGAATCCGTTTACATTGTAACAATGTGACTTATGCGGCAATAACACACAAGGTTATACCTGGAACAAGTGTATTTTTTTAAAGTGAATGCTGAGCAGAGACAGCGGGTGTGGACTGGTTACAATGCAATGAGGTCAGTCGATGATACAAAAGACTCTCACCTGAAAGAGGTGGATTCGTTGACCTCAATGCAACAAAAGACTCTCACCTGAAGTGACTTTTGAGTCGACTCAAAAGTCACCTTGTGGACTGGTTACAATGCAATGAGGTCAGTCGATCATACAAAAGACTCTCACCTGAAAGAGGTGGATTCGTTGGAAGCGGATGCTGAGCACGGAGAGCAAGTCGTCATACAGAAAGAAAGAGTCCTGAACCGTTGCGATTGTGTGTGACTTTCACTCCCCTCACCTGGAACAAGTGTATTCTCTGGAACCGAATGCTGAGCACGGAGAGCAGGTCGTCGCACAGAAACGGATTGAGTAACATGGTAACCAGTCGAGTCCAATAAAAGACTCTTACCTGGAACAAGTGTATTCTCTGGAAGCGAATGCTGAGCACGGAGAGCAGGTCGTCGTACAGAAACGCCCCTCCGTTGTGGGTGAGGTTGATGTAGTCGTCTCGAAACACACGCCTGTCCACCACCTTGCCGTCACACAGTCTGTTGAGGGGGGGTGGTAATGATGCGTGCGGGAGGGCAGTGAGGAGGTTGATGTAGTCGTCTCGAAACACACGCCTGTCCACCACCTTGCCATCACACAACCTGGGCAATGGAGGTGGGGCAGGGGAGAGGGAGAATGAGAAGGAAAGAGGGGTGAAAGGCGTGCTTTGCTTGCTTTCCCCCCTCCGTTGTGGGTGAGGTTAATGTGGTCGTCTCGAAACACCCTCCTGTCCACCACCTTGCCGTCACACAACCTGGGCAATGGAGGTGGGGCAGGGGAGAGGGAGAATGAGAAGGAAAGAGGGGTGAAAGGCGTGCTTTGCTTGCTTTCCCCCCTCCGTTGTGGGTGAGGTTAATGCGGTCGTCTCGAAACACCCTCCTGTCCAGTCCACCACCTTGCCGTCACACAGCCTGGTGAGCCAGCAGGGCGAAGGAGAGGGAAAGGAGAGAGGTAGAGGAACAAGGAGGAGTGGGGAAGGCGTGCTTTGCTTCCCTTTCCCCCTCCGTTGTGGGTGAGGTTGATGTAGTCATCTCGAAACACACGCCTGTCCACCACCTTGCCGTCACACAGCCTGGCGGGCGGGCGGGAAGGAGGAGGGACACTGTTTCTGAGGCGCCTCAAGAAGGAGCTCACTTTTGAGAATTCTCGAAAGGGAGAGTGATGCAATCGTAGGAGAGGGAGGAAGGAACAGTCAGTGTGCACTGGCACAACACCCAATCCTCCCATCCACCCCCCAAACCCGCTAGCTCGGGACTGCAGCTAGCTCGGGACTGCAGCTAGCTCGGGACTGCAGCTAGCTCGGGACTGCAGATAGCTTGGGACTGCAGCTAGGTCGGGACTGCAGCTAGCTCGGGACTGCAGCTAGCGCGGGACTGCAGCTGGCTCGGGACTGCAGCTGGCTCGGGACTGCAGCTGGCGCGGGACTGCAGCTGGCTCGGGACTGCAGCTGGCTCGGGACTGCAGCTGGCTCGGGACTGCAGCTGGCTCGGGACTGCAGCTGGCTCGGGACTGCAGCTGGCTCGGGACTGCAGCTGGCTCGGGACTGCAGCAAGCTCGGGACTGCAGCTAGCTCGGGACTGCAGCTCGCTCGGGACTGCAGCTGGCTCGGGACTGCAGCTAGGTCGGGACTGCAGCTGGCTCGGGACTGCAGCTAGCTCGGGACTGGAGCTAGCTCAAGACTGGAGCTAGGTCGGGACTGCAGCTAGGTCGGGACTGCAGCTAGCTCGGGACTGCAGCTAGGTCGGGACTGCAGCTAGGTCGGGACTGCACCTGACAAGATGCAGAGTGATGCCTTCCATAGCAGGAACCCCTTTGACTGCGCCCACCCAAGGCGGAGATGCCAGATCCGCCAGAGTAGTAGTAGTAGTAGTAATACCCTGTTACCCTTCACCTGTCTTGCCCCTCACCCTCACCTCACAAGATGCAGAGTGATGCTCTCCATAGCAGGAACGCCCTTCACAGCCCCCACCCTGGGCGGAGACACCAGATCCGCTCACACTACTACCCTCCATTCCCCCCACTTCATTCGCCCCGCCCTCTTTCTCACCTCACAAGATGCAGAGTGATGCTCTCCATAGCAGGCACGCCCTTCACAGCGCCCACTCTAGGCGAAGAGGCTAAATCCGCAGGAGTAGCCGAGGCAAACACGCCCAGAGCGCGGCCCTGGCAGCAGAGGAAGAGGTCCTTGCACAGCACCTCGCGTTGCTGCACCTACCAACCAACCATTTCCCCACAGCGCCTCAGCCACTGCAATGAGTGAACGCACCTCACAAGGTGCAGAGTGATGCTCTCCATAGCAGGCACGCCCTTCACAGCGCCCACTCTAGGCGAAGAGGCTAAATCCGCAGGAGTAGCCGAGGCAAACACGCCCAGAGCGCGGCCCTGGCAGCAGAGGAAGAGGTCCTTGCACAGCACCTCGCGTTGCTGCACCTACCAACCAACCATTTCCCCACAGCGCCTCAGCCACTGCAATGAGTGAACGCACCTCACAAGATGCAGAGTGATGCTCTCCATAGCAGGCACCCCTTTGACAGCGCCCACCCTAGGCGGTGAGGCCAGATCCGCTCACACTACTACCCTCCATTCCCCCCACTTCATTCGCCCCACCCCTCGCTCACCTCACGAGGTGCTGCAGAGTGATGCTCTCCATAGCAGGCACCCCTTTGACAGCGCCCACCCTAGGCGGTGAGGCCAGATCCGCTCACACTACTACCCTCCATTCCCCCCACTTCATTCGCCCCACCCCTCGCTCACCTCACGAGGTGCTGCAGAGTGATGCTCTCCATAGCAGGCACCCCTTTGACAGCGCCCACCCTAGGCGGTGAGGCCAGATCCGCTCACACTACTACCCTCCATTCCCCCCACTTCATTCGCCCCACCCCTCGCTCACCTCACGAGGTGCTGCAGAGTGATGCTCTCCATAGCAGGCACCCCTTTGACAGCGCCCACCCTAGAGGGAGACGCCAGACCCGCGGGAGTCAGCACCTCAACAACTGCGCCTAATTCCTGAGGAAACCCACCTCACGAGGTGCAGAGTGATGCTCTCCATAGCAGGCACGCCCTTCACAGCGCCCACCCTGGGCGGGAAAGCCAGATCAGCACACTAGCAACCTCCCATTCCCCGTCTCCATTCGCCACCACTCCCACTCACCTCACGAGGTGCAGAGTGATGCTCTCCATAGCAGGAACCCCTTTGACTGCCCCCACCCTTGGGGGAGAGGCTAAATCCGCAGGAGTGGCCGAGGCAAACACGCCCAAGGCGGATCCCTGGCAGCAGAGGAAGAGGTCCTTGCACAGCACCTCAACCTTGCTGCACCTACCAACCAACCATTTCCCCACAGCGCCTCAGCCACTGCAATGAGTGAACGCACCTCACAAGATGCAGAGTGATGCTCTCCATTGCAGGCACGCCCTTCACAGCGCCCACCCTAGGTGATAACTCCAGGTGCTGATTCCCCCAATCCCCCCCCCCCCCCCTTTCCCCCTCCTCTTACCTCACGAGGTGCAGAGTGATGCTCTCCATTGCAGGCACGCCCTTCACAGCGCCCACCCTAGGTGATAACTCCAGGTGCTGATTCCCCCAATCCCCCCCCCCCCCCTTTCCCCCTCCTCTTACCTCACAAGGTGCAGAGTGATGCTCTCCATTGCAGGCACGCCCTTCACAGCGCCCACCCTAGGCGGCGAAGCCAGATCCGCAGGAGTGGCCGAGGCAAACACGCCCAGGGCACTCCCCTGGCAGCAGAGGAAGAGGTCCTTGCACAGCACCTCGCTGCCCCTCCCCAGTGGCGCGCAGTACAGCTGCTCAAAGTAGCTCGGGAACTTCCTGGCCGCTGGAGGGAGGTGGTCGTCCTCCTCTGCCTCTGCGACTCCCGCTGCCCCCTGCGCCCCGTAGCTGGGTGGGGGGATGGAGGGAGAGAGAGAAGGGGAAAGGGCAGAGGCGAGGTAAAAAGTTGGGTGGGGTCGTCCTCCTCTGCTTCTGCAACCGCTACTGCCCCCTGCGCCCCGTAGCTGGATGGGGGGGAAAGGGGGAAGCGGGAAGGGGGAAGGGGAAAAAGAGGGGAGCAGTAGGGGGGAGAGGGGAGGAGCAGGGTCGAGGTGGAAAGAGGTGGTCGTGCTTCCCTGCCTGTGTTTGGATTGAGACTCGCTCACTCACTTGAACCAAAGGAAGCGGTACAACACGATGAGGTCAGGGCCGTTGCGGGAGAGGAGAGGAGAAGCAGATGAGGTGATGCTGCTGCCCATCGTACAGAGAGACCAGAGCCACTCACTTGAACCAAAGGAAGCGGTACAACACGATGAGGTCAGGGCCGTTGCGGGAGAGGAGAGGAGAAGCAGATGAGGTGATGCTGCTGCCCATCGTACAGAGAGACCAGAGCCACTCACTTGAACCAAAGGAAGCGGTACAACACGATGAGGTCAGGGCCGTTGCGGGAGAGGAGAGGAGAAGCAGATGAGGTGATGCTGCTGCCCATCGTACAGAGAGACCAGAGCCACTCACTTGAACCAAAGGAAGCGGTACAACACGATGAGGTCAGGGCCGTTGCGGGAGAGGAGAAGCAGATGAGGTACTGCTGCCCATCGTGGCTGAACCAGCTAAACCAGTGGTGAACCAGCACGTTACATGCTCCACTCGCCCAGACTCAGGGACAATTGAGAGAGACGATACCCACTCACCTGAACCAGTGGAAGCGGTAGACAGACCATGAGGTCAGGGCCGTTGCGGGAGAGGAGAAGCAGATGAGGTACTGCCTGCCTGTCCTGGCTGCCTCGCTGCACGGTTGCACTCCGTACGTACTCAGCTCACTCAGGGACCACAATTGTTTCAAGATTCACTCACTTGAACCAGAGGAAGCGGTACACGATGAGGTCAGGGCCATTGCGGGAGAAGCAGATGAGGAACTGCCCATCGTAGGTGAACGGTTGCACTCTGCACCCAGCTCATCCATCCAGGGAGGGACCACAACTGCTTATAGCCTTACTTCAACCACAGCCACTCACCTGAACCAGTGGAAGCGGTAGACGATGAGCTCAAAGCCGTTGCGGGAGAAGCAGATGAGGAACTGCTGCCTATCCTAGTTAAACGTTGCAACTCCCGTACCCAGCTCAGCAATCCAGAGAGTCAGAGACCACAAGTGCTCTGAGACTCACTTGAACCAGTGAAAGCGGTAGACAATGAGCTCAAAGCCGTTGCGGGAGAAGCAGATGAGGAACTGCCCATCGTGGCTGAAGCGGTGAATCACGTGCTCCGGTGACTCCACGTCGTACACCGTATGGGACGGCACAATGTTCTCGTATAAGCGGCGCACCGAGTGTAGCTGCGGGAGGGATATACAATGTGACAATGAGTAAGGAGAAGGGAGGTGGAAGAAGGGAGAAGGGAGAAGTAGGGAAACGGAGACAGGTGAAGGGGTGTTTTGAGGGGTGGTACGACAAGGGTTAGCCATGACTGGATAAGAGAGAGAGGGAGGAGAAAGGTGACAGCAATAGAGGGAAAGGGAGGATCATGAGACTTTCCAAGCTCAAACAGGGATGGTTGTGGAACATGCAACATAGGGAAACAGACTCAAGGGTGAGAAACCAGATTAACAGAAAAAGGAGAAAAAGAGCGGGTGCGACTGGTTGAGAGGGGTGATTCAGTGAAATTGGGAAGGGAAAGGGGGGGAGGGAGTGGTTGAGAGGGGTGATTTAGTGGTGATTGAGGGGAGGGTGGGTGAGGGAGGGGAGAGAGGGGGGGTGAGGGAGAGGAGAGAGGGGGGGTGCGGGAGGGGGGAGGTTGGAAGGGATATGAGAGGAGAGAGAGCAGCAGAGGTTGGGAGAGGGAGAGAAAGCACAGGTGAAAGAGATGTTCAGAAAGACGAGAGTGACGAAGAGAATGAAAGAGTCCCCCCTGCGAGTAACGAAGAGAGGCGGAGCATCTCTTGATGCTCGCAATCGCGTGTAACCCAGCTACACTCATGCGAAACTCGTGAAGCTGGAAAACTGCCTAAACTACCAAACTGCTAACTGCGAAGCTGCGAAACTGCGAATTAAAGAAGGTGCGAAGCTGCAGAACAAGCGGCTGATCGCGAAACGAAACTCGCCTGCGCGCACGGCGGTGAGCGGAACGTCTCGCGGTGCTGCAAGCGCTGCAAGAGGTTGTCGCTGCGCTCCCTCCGCCGCGTGCCGGGCATCGTGTACCAACGCGGCTTCTTCTTTGGACGACTCAATAATCGCTGGTTCCGGTCGACACAACGAAGAAGCTGCTCGGTATCTTCCGGCACTCCTCAACCGTGCCAAATTCTCTCTTAGACGACTCTAAAATCGCTGTATTAACAGCTTCTGAGTCGACTCAACAAAGAAGCTGCTGGGTATCTTCCGACATTCCTAATGCGTGTCGGTGTAAGACGCTTTTGCAGGGCTACTGAAAGCTACTTGGCGAATCTCAAGCTACGAGGAGCCTTATACCCGCTGCCCGTCACATTGCTAGCCACGCGTACAGGACATGGAACACAATACTACGCTCAGTTGTTCGTAGCTTTCAGAACACGCACAGCATAAGTGATTACAAGCAGTCTGACAAAAACCAGACACTTCCTGAGTGTTGCGTGGCTCTGTGCTGTCCACGCTACCCCAGAAACAGAATCCTTCCCGCCAAATCTTGTGAATGCTGACCACGTGTATGAACGGCCAGGATCTCGTATCGCCACAAAAAACGAAATCGTTGCCGGTCGATTTGAACCCAACGCTGACATCAACCTCAACTGTCTTCCACGTGATCGCGATTTGACACGAGCATATTGCAGATCGGTAAAGAACGTTGTGTATAGCTTTTGAATCGTTACGTCAGAAATGTCTTCGGTGTAAGGATGATCAGCTTGCTTGCACTATGAGGGGCGACGTGGCGGACCACTGTCGCTGTAAGACATTGTGGGGGGCAAAACCTCTTGAATTATAACACTTTCGGTTACATAATGTCTGCAATCCTTACAACTTTACTGGTCACCTAACAAGCTTCAGAATCAAACTTTTAGGCAACTAACAAACTGGGCCCAAAAGGAAGCTATACTATATACGCAATTAAGCACCTCCCTTCTCAAACACAACTCCTATTAAAATCTATACAGTGACAGCTACAGCTTGGCCAGGTACAATCTGCAGCACCTCCACATTGATTCCATCCTCTGAGCGAAGAATCTCCTGCAAAACATAAACAATTTGGGGTTAATGAGAGGTCGCGTAGTGATTCTTTGGATCCCTTGAAGAGGTTCAGAGCCAAAGTGGGGCGCACCTTGAATGAACTGAGTGTGCCGTTAGGAGTTACAAGAGCACTCAATATCCCTGACGCATCCACGTCAGCATTAGCCATAGGGGCCACATATCTGCAGAAGATTACCATAACAAGGATCCAAACAGAATAGGTTAGGCCAATTCCATGAGTGCACACACTGTTTGTGAAATCAAATTAAATGTCAAAACAGAGTGCATCAATTCACATAGCCCAGCGTGTTGCTTACCTGGCACCCACTACCTTAGCCAGCCTCACAGCATCCTCCTGCCCTGACACGAGGGTGTAACCAGGTAACTCCTGTTTCACCACCGGTGTCACCAGCACATCCACTCGCTCCCCGCCCTCCTTAAGGGCTGCCTCGTTAAACACACAATGCGGCTCAATATAAATAGAGGCACCTGATGCCTCCCCTCGAACAATGTACCTGATTGGCATAATCAAGGCCCAGGGCCCCGGGGGAAGGGATTTGGGTGGAGCATTTTGGCTCATTAGAAAGTAGAGAATACGCTGACTGACAATCATTCAGCAATTTCAAAGGTAGGAGAGCGGGAGGGATACACAGGCGTGAATTGTCTTTCACTCTCTGAGACAAGTGTGAGAACCTGTTGCATGCACACCCTCTGCCCCTCACACGTTCTCTGGTTGCTGCCACGGTTGACCCAGCACAGGCCCAGGCATGGCCTTTACTGACAAGCCTGGCTCTTTCGGAAATAGTACTCACCCATTTTCTGGTCGCTGCCAGGGTGGAGGTGGACCCAGCACAGGCACAGGCAACAGCGTTGACTGACAGATGGCCTCCTTTGCAAGTCTGGATTGCTTGAAATTCTCTTGACCCTCAACGGAAAATCACCCGTTCTCTGGTCGCTGCCAGGGTGGACCCAGCACAGGTCCAGGCACAGACTTGACTGACAAGCCTGGCTCCTTCAGATATATATATATATATACACATATATCTATACACATATAGGTATATATGTACATATATATCATCATGATTCCAGCAAGTGTGCTCACCCGTTTTCTGGTCGCTGCCAGGGTGGACCCAGCACAGGCCCAGGCACAGCCTTGACTGAGAGCCGGCCTCCTTTGGAGGAAGTGAAGGAGGTGGAGGAACCGGGCTCTATGTATGTCACCTGAGGGGATGGGGATGCGGGTGTGCAGAGAGAGGGGTGTGTGAAATGGCAGAAATTCCCAGGCTACAAACATGTGATCGTCTCATGCTGTAGTATTTCCATTACATTCACATAAGAGAGCAGAAGTTGAAAAACGCCTGTCCATTCAGCCTGACCGAATTCCATGCTCTCACTCACACACTCACATTGGAAAAAAGGGAATCAAGAAACGGCTGTCCGTTGGGAGTGGCGATAAAAGGGACGTCCGCCCGTCCGGCTGCCAGGGCCTTCCAATAATTCAATCCAAACCATTGTCACACACTTTTACCCCCCATGCACTCACATTGGAGAAGAGGGAGTCCAGAAACGCCTGTCCGTTGGGAGTGGCGATTACAGGGACGTCTGGTCGTCTGGCTGCCAGTGCCTTGAGCGTCCTCGCGTGCATGTGGTCGTCTAGGGATTGGGTTATAAGCACCACGTCAGCATCGATGACGTCATCCAGCTGAGGGTAGGAGGAGGATGGATTGGTAGGGAGAGGATGGAGGGGGAAGGGGGGATGGGGAAGTGGGAGGGTGGGGAGTGGTGTGGGGGAGTTCAACCTTGATCTTTTTCCAGCTCTGGTACCCGTTAAAGAGCGATGGGAGTATCAGATTAAAGGTATGGGCTCAGGAATGATATGGAACAGAGAAAACAGCGTTTCTTACCGATAGCGTCTTCAGCAATTTCTTGTACCCGGTGTAGAGCCACGGGATACCAAAATCCAGAGGACCCTCGATGATTGGGTCGACGAGTACTTTCACACCGTCCACCGACCACAGCCAGCTGTTGCCCTGCCAGGTGGACACGATTTGAAGGAGGAGAAAGGAGAGAGTGACCGCGATAAACGGGTACTAGTTAGTGTTATTCGAGCGCTCTATGATATGACCGACGAACAGCTCTACAACGCCCACCAGCCATCGTCAATTGTTGCCCTACGAGAGTGGAAAATCAATAGCTCGGTCTATTCTCGCTTTATTATTCAACGAAACTGTTATTCAATTAATGTTGCTCGAAAAAGTAAGCGGAATAGTACAAAGAAAGCTTACTTCAAGGTATGTGAGAGAAATCGGAGCGGAAACATCAGCGGCGGACACGGAGGACGAGGAAGAAGATGAGGACGCTGCAGCACGTGTAACCACGCGATTAGACCGACAGCGAGACACGTCAGCAACACGGTATCCGGAAGAACGAGACGAAGGTGCTCTAGACCTTATCGCATTCGACTTGCTTGAGCTTCTGCCCCTGCAGGCTAGTCCTGAAAGTTCTTGATGAGAAAATGCACGAGGGGAACTAGCATGACGTGGCGAGGCGTGCAGCATCGCGGCTGACGGTCGACAAACGGCGAGAGAGTTCATGACTGTGAATACGCAAGCCGGCTCTGAATTATTTTCGCGCTGCTCAGCTCTGAGTTCTAGCAAAATCTGGTCTGGTGATTATGTTGAGCTGACAGGAAGTGCTTGCAGATAATAATCTGGTCTTGTAATTTCGGCAGGGCTCACGCAGTAGAAGGGAATCGTCTGAATTTCCACAACCAAGCAACCTAAGAGACAGACATGACTGAGCAGAGCAGAAGCGTGCTAATATCCTCGTTATTGGGTCGAAGCTTGATTCCAATACAGAGTACGGGTGGTGGCAGTTGTGGTTATGTGGCCTTACCTCGATGCGGCACGTGGATCGAACCTTTCCTGTGAATCAGGACGACCAGTGAGAAACTTTGCTAAGCTCCCATGTAGTCACTTTCCTTTATTGCACAATAATCGTGATCAGTACACCTTCTAATACTGGATTCTGATATGAGACTTCTAATAGTGGATTCTGATATGAGCTGACTAATACACGAGAGGTATCCAAAAGTTCGTTTGTTGCACTAACGACCCTGGTAACGTTATTTCTCGCGCTAATGATCAAGGCGTTTCTCCACTGGCGACTAACCACCCAGCTCCGTTTGCCTGCCGCCCAGACGAAGAATAAGCGAACTCGATTGCGAAATCGTCCCCACCTGAAACCCATCAATTCGAGCTTCGCCAACCAAGCAATAGATACCTCGATTTTCTCCCATCTCTTGGAGCAAGCACACTCGCTCCTACGTTACTTCGTTGAAGTATAATCCCTGGCAGTTTTTTGCCATCCCTCCAAGCAGTCACCTCTAAGGCCCCGATATTATCACTCCTGGCTTAAAATTCACGGGGAGCTATGGCTCCTGCAGTGGATCAACGGAGACCCACTGGGGGGCGGGGGATCCTGGGTCTCGGGACCGTCGGATTAGCTTACGTGGCAATGGAATTCGTGAGAGCCCGAACCAACTGGCTTCCGCAAAGCCTCGCGTCGCAGCTGCAACCCGGTCTGTGGGGCGTCTTGGCGATCCTCGCGCTTTTCGAGGCTCCGCGTTACCGGCATTTCGCGGAGGAATTTCGCGCGGCTCCCAAGTTCTTCGCGAGCGTGTTTTTCATGGTGGCGATGTTCGCCATGGAAGTCGTGCTGGTGCAGTTCGTTACTGTAGTGGTCGGCATTGACTGGCACAAGTACGTATCCTCGCTATTATGTGAATATGGTACATTACAATGCAGGTTCCCACGCATTGAGGTACGAGCAATCTTGCTGCCGTGTTGGCCATTATCCCCCCCCCCCCCCCCCGACCCTTCCCCGAACCTCCCCCGATCCTCCCCGGAACCTCCCCCGATCCTCTCCTGAACAACTCGCATTCCCCCGCCGAAACTCTCCCAGTGTCCTCCTTTCGGACTACCTCATGCTCTTTATTCTTCTCAGTGCTCCGCGCAATTCTCTCTTCCCCCTACCCCCCCACTCCCCCTCATTCCCCCAGTGGCACCCCTCCTCTCCTAGTGTCTTCCTTCCCGACTACCTCATGCTCTTCATGCTTCTCAGTGCTCCGCGCACCTCTCTTCCCCCCACCTCCTCACGCCCTTCCCCCCCTCATTTCCCCAGTGGCACCCCTCCTCTTCCAGTCTCCCCCCTTCCCGACTACCTCATGCTCTTCATGCTTCTCAGTGCTCCGCGCACCTCTCTTCCCCCCACCTCCTCCCGCCCTTCCCCCCCTCATTTCCCCAGTGGCACCCCTCCTCTTCCAGTCTCCCCCCTTCCCGACTACCTCATGCTCTTCATGCTTCTCAGTGCTCCGCGCACTTCTCTTCCCCCCACCTCCTCCCGCCCTTCCCCCCCTCATTTCCCCAGTGGCACCCCTCCTCTTCCAGTCTCCCCCCTTCCCGACTACCTCATGCTCTTCATGCTTCTCAGTGCTCCGCGCACCTCTCTTCCCCCCTTCACCCCCCCTTTCCCCCCCTTTCCCCCAGTGGCACCCCTCCTCCCCCAGTGTCCCCCTTCCCGACTTACTCATGTTCTTTATGCTTCTCAATGCTCCGCGCGCCTCTCTTTCCCCTTCTCCCCAACCCCCTCCACCCCCCCCCCATTCCCCCAGTGGCACCCCCCCTCTCCCTGACACCGGTCAGTGGCTCCTCCTTGCTCTCAACAACCGCCTCCCCGCGCCCCTCACCGCCCATTCCTTTCCCTCTACCTCCTACCCCCCCCCCCCCCCTCCCCTTTCCCCCTTCCCTCCCCCGTGCAGTGGCACCCCCCCTCTCCCCGACACCGGCCAGTGGCTCCTCCTCGCTCTCAACAACCACCTCCCTACTCCCGTGTCCCTCGCTATTCATTCTTGTCCCCCTTTGCCACCCTTCCCTCCCCTTTCCTCCCCCCCATCCAGTGCCACCCCCCCTCTCCCCGACACCGGTCAGTGGCTCCTCCTCGCCCTCAACGACCACCTCCCCGCGCCCCTCACCGCCCTCCTCCGCGCGCGCCTCGTGGAAATGCACGATTTCCTCATGCTCTTCATGCTTCTCGCCTTCTCCGTCCTCTTCAACTGCATCCCTCCCCCGGGGATCGGGCTCGGCGCACGCTACTGCTTCACCATAGCTATCTCCCGTCTGCTTCGGTTCCTAACCTTTGCTTCGACGATCCTCCCGGCGGTTCGGCCGTGGTGCGCCGCGGCTAGGTTCGGGAGCACGAGTCCGAGGCACCCGCACCCCTGGGCTCAGAAGTACTTTGTGCCGTATGCCACGAACCACGACCTGCTTCATCAAGTTATCTCCACTGACGTGGCCTTTGGTAAGTCCGTGTGGGCGTTATTCGAGAATCACCAGGCTATCACCCGCACGCCACAGGGTTCAGAAGTACATTTCAGTAGCACCCGCACGCACCCCTGGGCTCAGAAGTACTTTGTGCCGTATGCCACGAACCACGACCTGCTTCATCAAGTTATCTCCACTGACGTGGCCTTTGGTAAGTCCGTGTGGGCGTTATTCGAGAATCACCAGGCTATCACCCGCACGCCACAGGGTTCAGAAGTACATTTCAGTAGCACCCGCACGCACCCCTGGGCTCAGAAGTACTTTGTGCCGTATGCCACGAACCACGGCCTGCTGCATCAAGTTATCTCCACTGACGTGGCCTTTGGTAAGTCCGTGTGGGCGTTATTCGAGAATCACCAGCCTATCACCCGCACGCCACAGGGTTCAGAAGTACATTTCAGTAGCACCCACACACCCCTGGGCGCAGAAATACTTTGTGCCGTATGCCACGACCCACGACATGCTTCATCAGGTTATCACCACCAATGTGGCCTTTGGTGAGTGCATGTGTTGAGGGGCCTTTAGACTCACCCGCACACCACCCCTGGACTCAGAAGTACCCTTTCAGTAGCACCCGCACCCCTGGGCTCAGATTTAGTTTGTACCATAAGCCAGGAATCACAATCTGCTTCATCAGCTCACCTGCACTAATGCGGCCTTTGGTAAGTCCCTGCCTTGCCGCTTTCCATGCATAATTCACGCAACCTAAGTTAGTATACACATCACCCATCCATCGCATGGTGCTGTAGGCGAATCTTGGGAATCTCTAGGAACACAATCGCACCATGCACCAATCATCCACACACCAACCTCCTTTCTACTCCTACTGCTCCGCCCACTGCCCTTTTCGTACCATCCCCCAGCCCCCCAGGTGCACTACCCACCTGAATATCAACCTGACTGGGGCTTTTTGCAGTTCCTGGTGGACTTCATGTGCCCCATGGACTCACCTACCCCCTCTGCCCTTGTCCTCTTTCCCCTTCATTCTTCCCCAGCCCCCCAGGTGCATTACCCACCTGAATATCAACCTGACTGGGGCTTTTTGCAGTTCCTGGTGGACTTCCTCCGCCCCATGGACGCCAGCGCTCACCACGGCGCCGCCGCCTCCTCCGGATCCTTCAGCAGTTTCGTCATCCGCCCCCCCTTTGTCCTCTTCCTCTTTCCCCTTCATTCTTCCCCAGCCCCCCAGGTGCATTACCCACCTGAATATCAACCTGACTGGGGCTTTTTGCAGTTCCTGGTTTCCTTCCTCCGCCCCATGGACGCCCGGGCACACCACGGCGCCGCCGCCACCTCCGGAGCCTTCAGCAGCTTCGTCATCCGCCCCTACGGCGGCTGCAACGACCTTGCCTTCAGCGGGCATATTATCGTCGCAGCCCTCACTGCCTGCGCCTGGCAGGTGGGTTTTGTCTTTTGAAACGCTTCAAAAGTCATCCGCCCCTATGGTGGCTGCAACGATCTCTCCTATGGTCATCTCACATTATTGTTGCATCCCTCACTGCTTGCGCCTGGCAGGAGGCGTTCCCTGGCTGGGCTTCGGCTATGGTCTGGGGCCTTGTGTTTCATTCCGCGCAGAGGGAGGTTCGGGAGCGGCAGCATTATACAGTAGATGTGGTTATCGCGCTGTATCTCGCGCCGTTGCTGTGGCGTACCACCAAATTTCTCTGGTCTCGCCCGCCGCCTCCGCCCACGAGGAGGGAGGCTTTTGGGGCGGCGCTTAGCGAGCGGGAACCGGCGCTTATGAAAGCGCTGAAGGATGGGGATTTGGGTGCTCTGAGGGAGGCTGTGGGGGATTCTGTGGAGGAAGCGGAAGGAGTTGTTTCCGGCGGTGTCAAGGGGAAGATTGCTGGCACTAAAGCTGTGAGGGATGCGCAGAGGAACAGATTTCTGTTGCCGTTTGGTATTGGGATGATTCTATTGATGTTTGTGGTGGCTTTGACGGCCTTCAATATGGCAGACGAAGGCGGTGGCTTTTTGAGGTGGCGCAAATGAGGGGTATATTGTTGTTAATAGTTGTGATGTGATTGGGCGTTCAAATATTTGTTTGATAGAAGCGGTGCTTGCAAGGGAATAGCCTACTAGATGCACTTGTACTAATATTCTTGCTGTAGCAGGCATGCCTTGATAAAGGCCACTCCCCATGTTGAGAGGTTAAAGCCCGAGTTCCACATGGCATTTTTCAAATTCAAGATTCTTGAATATGAACTCGCCAAAAACCAGGTTACCACCCGAAGTGCAGCTTTCCGTCCCCTCACGGATGAGATGCTTCACAACTCTGATGCATGATTGGCCAGCGACAAAAAAAAAGGATTCCGCGTGAAGTGTCAACGAGAGTTGGACCACTGTTCACATTCAGTAAACTTGAAAACCAAGTTGTACTTATGTGCAGCCATATTGAGTCTAGGACACGTAGTGCGCTCCGCTGTTCAGGACCACAAGAGCCCGTAGTATCGCTTTTAGACAATGGCAGCGAGATGTCTATATCCTTGCAGCAGTCTGTTGGTTTTTCGCTCCAACAAAAATAAAATTAGCCAGCCTAAAGAAAAACGTCATGTCTACAGGGACGATGGCGCTCGCAAGTACGTTCGAAGCGCACGGATCAAGCGCACGGATCGGGCGCTCGACTCACATGTACGTTCCACGCACCCGCTTCCGCCCGTCGCACTCCCTTCCGCACGCCTGCACTCCCTTCCGCACGTCGCACTCTCTTACGCCCATCAAACTCCCTCCCGCCGTCGCCCTACTGCCCGTCGCTCTCCCTAGGGCACGTCGCACTCACTTCCGCCGACGCTCCCTTCCGCCCGTCACCTTCCCTTCCGCCCGTCGCACTCACTTCCGCCGTCGCCATCCCTTCCGCCCGTCGCCCGTCACCTTCCCTTCCGCCCGTCGCCCTCCCTTCCGCCCGTCGCCCTCCCTTCCGCCCGTCGCCCTCCCTTCCGCCGTCGCCATAGATTCCGCCCGTCGCTCGTCGCCATGCCTTCCGCCCGTCGCCCTCCCTTCCGCCCGTCGTCCTCCCTTCCGCCGTCGCCATCCCTTCCGCCCGTCACCCTCCCTTCGTCTCGTCGCCCTCCCTTCCTCCCATTGCCCTCCCGACCACCCGCCGCCCTACCTTCCCCTCGTCGCGCTCCCTTCCGCCCGTTGCCCCCCTTTGTCTCGTCGCGCTCCCTGCTGCTCATCGCCCTCCCTCCTGCTCGTCCCCTCGCAATCCCCGTATCTCTCTCCCCTCGTCGCCCTGGCACCTCCGTCACTGTCGCCATCCCTCCCATCTCCCTTCCCACCTCATTTGGGCCAGTCACGCCCCCTTTCCAACCAACACACACGGTGGCCCTTCCCCTAATGATCGCCTTTCACCACCACACCGCTTACCTCTCTCCTTCCCCACACCACCTTTGGCCTTCCTCCCCCAATCCCCTTCCCTGCTTCCCCGTGTCCCTTTCCCTGCTTCCCCCCATCTCCTTCCCTTCTTCCTCCCACCCCCTTCCCATCTATTCCCCCCATCCCCGTCCCTGCTTCCCCATGTCCCCTTCCCTGCTTCCCCGTGTCCCTTTCCCTGCTTCCCCCCATCCCCTTCCCTGCTTCCCCCCATCCCCTTCCCTGCTTCCCCGTGTCCCTTTCCCTTCCTCCCCCCATCCCCTTCCCTGCTTCCCCATGTCCCTTTACAAGCTTCCCCCCATCCTCTTCCCTGCTTCCCTCCATCCCCTTCCCTGCTTTCCCATGTGTCTTCCCTTCCTCCCCCAATCCCCTTCCCTGCTTCTCCCCATCCCCTTCCCTTCTTCCCCCCATCCCCTTCCTTTATGTTCCCCCCATCCCCTTCCCTGCTTCCCCATGTCCCCTTCCCTGCTTCCCCATGTCCCCTTCCCTTCCTCCCCCCATCCCCTTCCCTGCTTCCCCATGTCCCTTTCCCTGCTTCCCCCCATCCCCTTCCCTGCTTCCCCCCATCCCCTTCCCTGCTTCCCCGTGTCCCTTTCCCTTCCTCCCCCCATCCCCTTCCCTGCTTCCCCATGTCCCTTTACAAGCTTCCCCCCATCCTCTTCCTTGCTTCCCTCCTTCCCCTTCCCTGCTTTCCCATGTGTCTTCCCTTCCTCCCCCCATCCCCTTCCCTGCTTCCCCATGTCCCTTTCCCTGCTTCCCCCCATCCCCTTCCCTGCTTCCCCCCATCCCCTGCCCTTCATCCCCCCATCCCCTTCCGTGCTTCCCCGTGTCCCTTTCCCTGCTTCCCCCCATCCCCTTCCCTGCTCCCCCCCATCCCCTCCCCTGCTTCCCCGTGTCCCTTTCCCTTCCTCCCCCCATCCCCTTCCCTGCTTCCCCATGTCCCTTTACAAGCTTCCCCCCATCCTCTTCCCTGCTTCCCTCCATCCCCTTCCCTGCTTTCCCATGTGTCTTCCCTTCCTCCCCCCATCCCCTTCCCTGCTTCCCCATGTCCCTTTCCCTGCTTCCCCCCATCCCCTTCCCTGGTTCCCCCCATCCCCTGCCCTTCATCCCCCCATCCCCTTCCGTGCTTCCCTGTGTCCCTTTCCCTGCTTCCCCATGTCCCCTTCCCTGCTTCCCCCCGTCCCCTTCCCTGCTTCCCCCCATCCCCTTCCCTGCTTCCCCGTGTCCCTTTCCCTGCTTCCCCCCATCCCCTGCCCTTCATCCCCCCATCCCCTTCCCTGCTTCCCCGTGTCCCTTTCCCTGCTTCCCCCCATCCCCTTCCCTTCATCCCCCCATCCCCTTCCTTTATGTTCCCCCATCCCCTTCCCTGCTTCCCCATGTCCCCTTCCCTGCTTCCCCATGTCCCCTTCCCTTCCTCCCCCCATCCCCTTCCCTGCTTCCCCGTGTCCCTTTCCCTGCTTCCCCCCATCCCCTTCCCTGCTCCCCCCCATCCCCTCCCCTGCTTCCCCGTGTCCCTTTCCCTTCCTCCCCCCATCCCCTTCCCTGCTTCCCCATGTCCCTTTACAAGCTTCCCCCTTTCAACCGCACAGATGACGTATCATCAACCCCCTTTCTTGTTGTCACACAGTACAATATCTTCCGCGTAACAGCATCCATGAACGACACAGTACACCACTCGCCCTCTCGGACATGTGACCACCGACCGTCTACCGTTACCCATTCCCCGGGAATGTCTCGTTTCTTCATCTCTTCTCGCACCGCTGCCATCGATTTCTCCGCCTCCCTAAGAATCGTGTTCCACAACCCATTATCATCCCCTATATACTTATAGAAAGTGCCTTTTCCGGGACATGGGATACCAAAATTGCGGCTGAACTCCCACATCTGTTGATAACCCATCCCGGCAAGCACAAATGCTCCTACGAATTTGGAATGGAGCATAGGCATGCGTGCCCCGACACCAGCTCTTCTTTTCTCAACGGTTCGATTGGTGCATGACCAGAATTCCACACCATGGGAGCACGCATCACATCTCCAAAACATCCCCACTGATGCCCATGAAAATTTCCAAGACCTCAAAGACATGGCTCCTCCGCATGCATGTTGATGCGAGCACACCAACCGACATCCCTTGAAGAATCCAACAAGAGTACGCGGTTCGACGAGACATACCCGTTGTTCAGAAATCTCATCAGCATTGGGTGAGGTAGGCCAGTGCCTAGGGACTGTTGCACGCGCGATCGGGCGCGGTTGCCTGCGACGTGGCAAGAGGTGGTGCACATATCAGAAGAAAAACATACGCATAAGAGGTTGGATGTCAGATCCTTTGTTGGGCTGATCATCCTGGGATGGGGAACGCGTCAACCACATCTTCAAACATGGTAGATGCTTACATGTCCTCTGGCATGCCTGTTGTCGCCGTTGGCGTCGGTGCTGGCAGCGGTGTGTTGACGGGGGTAGACTGTATGCACTCCCGATCGGCAGCTCGACAGTCGGCGTTGTCCTGCGCCATTGGATTAGGTGGATCCGTAACAGCATCCACCACATCACGGTCTGCTGACTCGGAGCCGGCCCTCAGCCCGAGCCCACCTGTAGTATATCGAGAGCAACGGGATAAGCTACAACTTGCGGAATGGAATAGGAAGGACCGAATGTGCACAGTGCGTGGACATCTTTCTAATGGTGAATCTTACGAATGCATGCAGCTTATTACCTTCCTGGCGCTGGAGGGAAAATGCCTTTCCACGCCTTGCTCCTCCCCAAGATAGGCCCTTCACAGGTTTAGGTCTACCGCGATGATCAAGCTTCATAATCGGGAAGGAAAACTTGACGCCAGGCAGCACTCGATTCGGTCGTCCCAGTAGATCTGTAATCTTCTCGTAGCCTCCATGAACGCGCCCTCTGAAAATGCGACTATACTCTTGACGGTGCATCTCGACCATGGCGCCGGTTTGCGTGCCCTCTGACTCGGGATCTGGGTGTCATTGAGTTCACATATGAGGGTGCACATAGTACTCGTGTTCACTGAAATGAACTGCGTGCAACTAATATGTGTTGACACAAAACCATTCTTTAACTTACCTGCGGCTAGTCCAGCTGTAATGAGTCGAAGCGTCGCATCTGGTGCTGCCTCTGCTAAGAAATGAATAACGTCGTCGGGTGTCGCCATAGCATCGCCAGCGAACAAAGCGGACAATCCCACACGTAGCACGCACAACAGAGGCCGCATATGCTTTGATATGTTCGCGCTGCCCTTCGTGGCATCCTTGCATGCTTGCGCTGCTCGATCTACTCTCATTGGACATACCGGGAATACTACACAACCAAGAGGGTATGCACGCGCATGATGGGTAAGACAGATACCCACGTGGGATGATGGGCAGGAGGGCATAGTTATTGATGGCGTGCATCTAGATGCCCAACAGGGAGGGAAAAATGACATATGAAGTGATAAGGCAGCTGGCCCAAGTGCTGCGTCTTTTGGGGCACTTGATATGAATGGTTAACAAACAAGCGCAGTGCAAAGGTGGCAGAGCCAAGATCGAAGCTTTGGTGTAAAATCAGGGAAGGCGAGATCAAAACTGACCTACCAAGGTTGCGGTGCGCTGAGCTGTTCTGGCTGAGAATAGTTGAGAAATCAGGGAGGGCTATATGACAACTGACCTGCCAAGGCTGCTGCGCGATGAGCCTCCTGCCCTTGTGGCCGATTAGATGGATGGATGTCCCCTGAACCCAGCAGTGCAATGGCTGCAGCAACACGTCCTGTCAACCAATGTCCACATGGGCGGCGGAATATATGGCAAGTGAAACGCAAAGGCAACAACACCAGGCGCTGCTGTGCCTGCGGCACCAGCGAGGCATGCAAACCCGCACAGCACCCAAGACCATGGCTGACGGGGACAAGTGGTGATGTGCCCCTAGTTACTTCCCAGAATGTTTGGGTTACAACTACCATGCAAATGACTCAGCGCCTCGAAAATGTTGAGCATGAGGCACTAGTGAGGGATGGTTAGATGAGCACTGACCTGCCAAGGTTGCAGTGCGATGCGCTGCCGTTCGCGCCGCCGCCCAGAGCACTACAACTTGCAAAGCGTCCTTTGGATAACTGGCAAATGGCAAAGGAATGAAAGAGAGGTAAAATTCAAAGACAGCCGGACGTTTGCCAGAAAAACTGGAAAGTGGGAAAGGAATGAGTCCAAGTGAAATGCAAATGCTAGAACACCAAGTGCTGCTTACGCTGCGGCACCAGCGAGGCATGGTCACCCACACTGCACCCCGCACACCGACAGCGGGAACATGTGATGATGTGCCCCTAGTACTAGACAGTGGTGTTTGAGAAACAACTGCTGTGCAAATGACATAAGACCGCGCGCTGCTGAGCATGAGGCAGCAGAAATGACATGCATGAGCTAGTGCTACAGATAGCTTTGTAGTCTGACATGCCAAGGCGATGGTGCGATGTGCTGTTCTTCCTGTGGCAGCAGCCACGACTGTAGCAACAAGTTTGAACATGCATGCAAACCCGAACAGCAGTAGCACAAGGGCAACCAGAGTCCATTACCGCGATGCATGAGGCACCGGACATTGACGTACGAGAACGAGCTCATCTGCAAAGGCAGCAGCACGAGACATTCACGACAACTGACCTGCCAGGGACTGTCGCGATGCATGAGGCACTAGTGATGGATGGTTAGACGAGCACTGACCTGCCAAGGTTGCAGTGTGATGTTTTGTCGTTCTTGCCGCCGCCCAGATGAAAGGGTGACTGTCAAACTCAGCAGTGCAACAGCAAAACGTCCTTTGGATAACTGGCAAATGGAGAAGGAATGAAAGGGAGGTAAACTTCAAAGACAGCGGGACGTTCGCACGGAAAACTAGAAAATGGGAAAGGAATGAGTTCCAAGTGGAATGCAAACGCAAGAAAACCAAGTGCTGCTTGCGCTGCGGCACCAGCGAGGCATGGCCACCCACACAGCACCCTGCACACCGACAGCGGGACCATGTGATGATGTGCCCCTAGTACTAGACAGTGGTGTTTGAGAAACAACTGCTGTGCAAATGACATAGGACTGCGCGCTGCTGTGCATGAGGCCCCATGCATGGGATGGTTGGATGAGGACTGACCTGCCAAGGCAGCAGTGCGTTGTGTGTCCTGCCCTTGTGACCACCCAGATGGATTGATGACAGAAAAACTCAGTCGTGCAACGATCCCCTGCAACACGTCCTGCTAGTAGCTGGAAAACGGGTTAGGGCTGAAAGACACATGAAGTGCAAAGGCAGCATCACCACGCGCAGCCGTGCCTGCGGCAACAGTGAGGCACTATAAGCCAAACAACAGCAGCAAAGCAAAGGTGGCAATAACTTGCAATGATGTGCAAGCGGATGGGGTGTGAGAAGTCCAAAGGCTGAAGCAACACTGGCTGCAGATAGGTGGGGTGTGCTGAAAGACTAGCTATCTACAAAGGCAGCAAGGAAAGGGACATGGGGAAGCAAGGAAAGGGGCATGGGGAAGCAGGGAAGGGGATGGGGGGAAGCTGGGAAAGGGACATGGGGAACCAGGGGAGGGCGTGGGGGGGAGCAGGGACGGGGACATGCGGAAGCAGGGAAGGGGACATGGGGAAGCAGGGAAGGGGACATGGTTTCGCATGTAAAGGGATGGGGGGAAGCAGGGATGGGGGGAAGCAGGGAAAGGGGCATGGGGAAGCAAGGAAAGGGACATGGGGAAGCAAGGAAAGGGACATGGGGAAGCAAGGAAAGGGACATGGGGAAGCAGGGAAGGGGATGGGGGGAAGAAGGGAAGAGGATGGGGGGAAGCATGTAAAGGGATGCGGGAATGAAGGGAAGGGGATGGGGGAAAGCAGGGAAAGGGACACGGGGAAGCAGGGAAGGGGACATGGAGAAGCAGGGAAGGGGATGGGGGGAAGAAGGGAAGGGGATGGGGGGAAGCAGGGAAGGGGACATGGGGAAGCAAGGAAAGGGACATGGGGAAGCAAGGAAAGGGACATGGGGAAGCAAGGAAAGGGACATGGGGAAGCAAGGAAAGGGACATGGGGAAGCAGGGAAGGGGATGGGGGGAAGAAGGGAAGAGGATGGGGGGAAGCATGTAAAGGGATGCGGGAATGAAGGGAAGGGGATGGGGGAAAGCAGGGAAAGGGACACGGGGAAGCAGGGACGGGGACATGCGGAAGCAGGGAAGGGGACATGGGGAAGCATGTAAAGGGATGGGGGGAAGCAGGGAAGGGGATGGGGGGAAGCAGGGAAAGGGACACGGGGAAGCAAGGAAAGGGACATGGGGAAGCAAGGAAAGGGACATGGGGAAGCATGGAAAGGGACATGGGGAAGCAGGGAAGGGGATGGGGGGAAGAAGGGAAGAGGAGGGGGGAAAGCATGTAAAGGGATGCGGGAATGAAGGGAAGGGGATGGGGGGAAGCAGGGAAAGGGACACGGGGAAGCAGGGAAGGGGACATGGAGCAGCAGGGAAGGGGATGGGGGGAAGAAGGGAAGGGGATGGGGGGAAGCTGGGAAGGGGACATGGGGAAGTAGGGAAAGGGACATGGGGAAGCAGGGAAGGGGACACGGGGAAGCTGGGAAGG